TGTTTATTTGTTTGGTTGGTTGTTTGTTAATAAAAGCCAGTTTTACTGATTTCATTTTTCCTTTCAAAGATGGTATCAAATTAATGAATTCAATTATCATAGTTCAATGATTTCAGAATATAGAGATGTATTAGTGTAAGACTAAGACAATTATCATGGATACTAATGACATATATATAATTTTTCGCTTGATTTGACTGACCTTAGTTATCAAGATCTGATAAGGAATGATGCATTGGTATCTATTATTCTTATGTAATCATCAGTTTCTATTGTTCTAATTTAAATATTTGACAATTACGCAGAAACAAAAGGTTGAATAGGAAATACATCAATAAGTATATAGATATTTCAAAAGTTGAAATCATGAGTCAATTGATGCTAAACTACCATGGAAAACATGAAAGCACTGGACGGACGTATTGTCCTAGTAGGGGACTCCTCAGCAGTGTGAATCCACGATTCCTCCCCCCGTGAGGTTTGGACCCAGGACCTATCGCTCTCGCGCGCGAGCGCCTAATCATTAGACCACTGGGCCGGCCGGCACCCAACAGCTTTAATGTCTAACTTCAACCAATCTACGAAATTGTGCCACCGTACACCATTGTCTTCACTGAGCTGATATCTCATACGCGCGAGACTGATAGGTCCTGGATTCGAGTCTCGTGGGGTGGTGGTGGATGCGCACTTCTGAGTAGTCTCATACTAGGACGAAACGGTCGTCCACTGCTTCCAGGTCTTCCATGGTAGTCTAGCTTCAATTCACTCATGATCTCAACTATTAAAATAACTAAGATCTCCATAAAACCTCTTCTGATATAGATATTAATTGGATGTAAATCACTAGATTTATGCATAAATCAACAATTCAATTCATTTATATCTCATTTAGATTATGAGGTAAATATGAAATTCATGTGAAAGGCATTTATAAGATTTGAACAAAGCAAATTATAAATATCAAATAGGTTTGTGTTGTTTATTTTTTAAATGAAATTTCTTATTCTGTGAACTAAAGGTAAGAATGGTCACGTTCTCTGACACAGGATAGAATCCATCAGGGATTATCAGTTCTCACAAGATTACTAGGTACATCTTGCTGACAAATGCCAAATAGCACGAAACCTAGTTCCAGGGTTTTGATAAGTCGTGTAGGTTGAACGCTATATACGATTCCTAAGCTATTTCGGTAACCTGCAGTCTAGAACTACACAGCGACTTGAACTCCAGAGAGAAGACACAAGAACGAGAGAAAGCACTTTATTCCTAGGTTCATTTTTGTACAGAAAATCATGGGTATTTATAGATTTTGGAGTCTGTTAAATCAACATCATTTTACAGCCAATCCGATAACAACACATTATGCTACCGACCAATAGTAGCACGCCACGTTGGAATTCTAGAACGTTCCATCACACTCTGATTGGGCAGGACTCTTCGGCTCCTTGTGGGCCTCTGGAGGCTCCGTTGAAGTTCTCCGGAAGCCGACCCAACAGGTTTCCTGTCAACGACCTCCAATCACCATCTTATCTTAACATAGTGTACGCAATGTCAAGTCACTTAGATTGGTAGACACATTGCAACTTAGTCGATAGTATTCAATCTGAACTAAAAAGGACCTGACATACATGACAATGATCACCAGCCAGTGATCAGTCAATTGTAAATCACTTTCTCTCTGTCATGTCTCACAATATAATTTTCGTTTCTTTTTAAAAATTGATTTAATTCTTTCTGTTTCAAATGAGAACACTTGAAACTCTTATTTGACTAGCTGACTTAATCTATCTACATTAGCTAAGTTATATCTTATTTAGTTTTGATAGATTGAAAAACTACGGTGTATTAGCTGACTAAATGTGTTTAACGACACTTAATAATAGTTATACACAGCAGATGAATGGAGAATGAGAATAGTTCAAAAATAAATGTTTATATTTTGATTTCAATCATAATTTAGCAGTGAGACTATAATTTATGGACGACCTTTGAGAGACGCTATAGTGATCTTGAGAGTGTTCATCTGATAATTGGGAGCAAACGAAGATTTGAAACCAGTGTGAGGCATTACACTTGATGGTTAAGGATAGAGATTAGATGTAGGGTTTTCATCATGAACTGATATCAGCTAAAATGTCAAGACGCTACTTGATCAAATGGATGAGTAGATTTCCCGACAATACCCGAGACCTATTATCTTACATGTGATTGATTCGTTCATAAATTATAGTCTCGGTACATCAGTTACTTGATACATACAGTCAAAGTAACATGCTTACTGAATCATCAGAAGGTGGTGTGTTCAATATCACATCATATTGTAAGCAGGCACGTGTAGGAAATGAGTTCTCTTCGAATTTTAAGAAGGCCATCGATTTGATAAAACGCATAAAGACGTCTCTTTTTGACTATCATTACATTAAGTTCATACAATCATCTCATATGTAATAATCTATCATGAAATAGATTAGTGTTACTTGATTATCAGAGATTTAATGTAGAAATCTATGAGAATGAAATAGGTGTTGTATCATTAAGCAAAATAACTAATGATTCAAAGTTGAATTCATGACTCATTCTAAGTTGAACCACCATTGGAAACCTGGAATCACTGAATGACTGTTTCGTTCTAGTGTGTAACATTAACACCATTGGATACTGGTTCAGTGGTCTGAAAGTTAAACGCCAAGACAGGAGGTCCTAAGTTTGAATTCCATGTGAGGGATCGTGGATGCGTACTGTTGACAAGTTCCATAGTAGGACGTAATGGCTGTCCAGTGCTTTCAGATTTCTAACGGTGATCTAGCTTATACGTAGCTTATTATGTATTAGTTTGAGAAATAGTAAGAAATAATAATTTATGAAAGTAGGATGAGTGGTAAGACCAATCAATTCATTTAACTTTGTCGGTAATATTAAAGGTCAATTCTTGTGGTGATCTGTGACCAGAGTTAACCACATGTTCAAGGATTAAACTGTCTATCAATTCGTATTCTGCTTTAGATAGTCAAACAGGACAGTTCTCGGATATTAGCTTACTAAGTGACCACTTTGTACAACCAATATAACTTGCTCCAAAACAATATGTAAGCCGATAAATACACATTGGGGTGGGCCAAAGCAGAAGTTTATCCCTACTGATCTTTCGAATACATTTTTTACTGGAGAAAATAATCAGAAGCTTCAGTAAATAAAACGTGTTCCTCAGAGATCTAGACAGTCTATTCTTTAGTATATCCACAGTGGTATCTTCCTTAAATTAAAAATTTTTCAGAACTGTTGGAGTACTTTCAGTTTGACATTTCGATTTTAGGCTACTATCAATGAAATGTTCATCAAGTTCTACTTACCTCATCATCAATTGTGTTCTCTGTACACTATTCGTCTGTCTTTTGAAAACAGAAAATGAATTAAATTTCTCTTTCTACTCAGAAGTATTCTAACTCTGGAATTTCGTGTACTGTCAGTTTCAGGTGGATTTACTGTTTATCGATCGTTGTAAAGATCAATCTGGTCTTTATTTAAGCAAAATATCACAAAGATAAAATTTTGAATTCAACTTAGATCCTATCATCAACATTGTCGAATGGTGATCATTGCTGAACATCATCAAACTATGCTTAGTAGACTTATAAGCAAAGATATATGTTGGCTAGCAGTGAAATTTAGGATACGGGTTTCGTCCTATTCGCGACTCATCAGTTGGATGCAACTGTATACAAGAAAATTTAGAAAAGTAGCTTATAATGAGTTTTGTACAAATCAATAAATTATTCTTTGATGAAAATACATTATGAATCAATAATTCTTAGGTTAACTTAGATGTTTCATCTTGAAAACAATCTCCTTAGATATATCATGACCAATGAATGATATGGATACATTCAAAAAGTATAACACTGAATTTAAAATTACAATCTATTTTCCATACGCATATTTCCGGATAAACTTTTAAAAAACTGTGAATATATCATCACAGATGGGTAGTGGCTAGCAGTGGAATCCAGGACAAGCGTTTCGTCCTATTCAAGCCTCGTCTCCCGGATGTGACGGCCTCCCAGAGTTGATGTTCGATCTGGGACTCGAACCCAGTACCATTCGCTTGAAACTTCATTGCATTATCCATTCAGATACTGAGTCCTGATAGCCAGTATCCTGTGCAATTGGGTAAACTTTGAATTCACTTTGTATTGTTTGCTTGGATTTTTCCCTTGTTGTTTACGATTGTAATTGATCGGTCTTTTAATAGACTATGTGGGTCCTGTGCTGATCGCCTTGATATTGCCTTATGTTACATGTGTTATAAGCTGACAAGTCCCGAATAGGACGAAAGACGCGTCTTGAATTCCATCGATTGTCCATCACATTCTGTAATGTTGTTCGAGTGCACGATTCTTTTCTATTTTTCTTTCGATTCTCTTCAACTCGATCTTCTTAGTCTTCTGCTGCCAAGCTTTTCACTTCCGATTGGTGTTACATACTACTTATGTATGTTGACATAAGTTGTTTACACCACAGGCATATTTGCATCAACGAAGGAACTGATTTTCCCTGTAGGATTCAAACATACAACACCTAAAATTCACACCTGGACAAATGATCATTCAGTTAATTGCTACAGAATTCGCCCATGAAAATCTCTAAAACTTGCAAAGAGTTAATTACATAGAGTCCCTTATTAGAACAAAACAGCTATCCAGTGCTCCCTGTTTTCAAATAGTACTGTAGTGTCTGCTACTGATGTCGACAGATATAAATGATATGTATCATCAATAGAACGTAAAATACCTGGCGGAAGAAGGTTAAGAAGATCGAAGAAAAGAAAGCGAGAACAGAGTGTTATTGATGTAGAAACGAAGAAACAACAAAGTGTGAGACAATTAATTGACATTTGAATAATGAAGTATTTACTGTATGGTTCTCAGATTTTACTAAAATATTCAATAATTTCGTGTTCAGATACATTTGATTGCCCCCATTTTTGTTCTCGTTTACTTCAGTACCGTAAGTAAGGTTGTAGTGAACAAGAACACAAGCGGGGACAATCGAATGAGTGTGGACGCCAAAATTACAGAATCTCTTAGTAAAAGCTGAGAATCATACGGTAAGTACTTCATTTGTAAAATGTCAATCATTCGTCTCAAACTTCATTGTTCATTCATTTCTAAACCAATTGCTTTCTGTTCTCATTCTTTCTTTCTCGATCTTCTGCTGCCAGTCATTCTGTTCCTAACTGGCGTTATATACTACCTATGCCGATATAAGTAGTACAAACCACAAGGTTAATTACTAATGAATATCACTTTTATGCTAAACTGATCTCCACAATAACAATAATCCCTATATATACTTAGTTATTTTAAACTAGTGTATCACAATTGATCGATCACTGGATGATGATCAGTATCATGTGTGTCAAGTCCTTCTTAGTGAAGATCGAATTTTATCGACCAAGTTGCAATGTGGCCACTAGTCTAAGTGACTCGACATTGCATGCACTATGTTGAAATTAGATGGTGGTTGTAGATAGGGTCCAGGGTTTCCTGTTGACTACCTCCAACCACCATCTAAACTGGTGTATCGTTGACATATTTATTAAGCCAATAAGATTAAAAATAAACATTGAACTAATCAACACGATTTCATTATTCCCAGTATACACAAATTTTTCTAGTGAGACTATAATTTATGGACGATTTTCGCGTGACGCTAGACTGACCTTGAGAGTGTCCACCTAATAACTAAGACCAAATGAGGGTTATAAACCTGTGATGAATTAAAATTATGATTTACAGTTGATGGTCAAGGGTTCAACTCCGCCTGGAGTCCCTCCGGGGGCTACTGCTTGTCCTAAGCCCGGATAAAAGAGGAGGGTTGGGCATGGGGTTAGCGATCCCATCCTGTAGAAAACTAACTTGCCAGAAAAACGTTAACCAGAAAAAATTATTCAAACCTTTTAAACTCTGCCCTGGGAGTCAGATCTTCATTTAGAAGAGTTATGACGTCACATGATGAAAGCCGAGTTCCTTCGGAAGTCACGAGGCCGATACCCCTTCTGACAACCAGAGCAACCATTTATTTAGGTACATGGAATACTCGTACAATGTGTGAGACCGGGAGAGTCTTCCAAATGGCTACAGAAATGAGGAGATACAACCTAGAGGTGCTTGGGATCAGTGAAACATATTGGATGCAAGTTGAACAACAACGACTAGCTTCAGGCGAGCTTCTGTTATACTCCAGTTAAGGTTTCAGAATTAGATTTAGGGTTTTGCGTCACAAAATGACATCAGTTATAATGCCAAAACTGTATTTAACCAAATAGATGAATAAATTTCGCGCCAAAAATCCTAGACCTGTTATCTTATACCTGATTAATTTATTCATAAACTATAGTCTCGCTATATTTTTTCCTTAAAAATTGTACTGTACTTTACCAAGATTAAATAAGAACTATCATTAGTTTTCCTTCAAAAAAAAAGAAAAAAAAAGAACAACAAGGAGTGTTTTCATAATATTTTCTTTTGTATCTAGGATAGTAACAAAATATCTAGATTCTTCTCTCTTTTTGTTTTTTGATTCATAGACAATGAATCTTCACATTTAACATGAACTAAAGGTTTATTCTATTTTAAATAGTCTTAAGTAAAAAAAAACTCCGTTTTTTTATTGTTGATTTATTTCCCCTTTCTCCCCCTCCCACCCCTCTCCCTGTGTGCGTGTGTATGTGTATCTCACTCTCACTCTCTCTCTCCTTTACTGTAAGTGTTCAATTCACCTTGAGGATGTTGACTCGGTTTATGATTACTACTGTTGTTGTTGTTGGTGGTGGTGGTGGTGGTGGTGATGTTGTTTATCTTGTTTGATTTTTTTGCTTGTTAACTATGTCCAATGTAAAATTTCATTATGTAATTATAGTCATAGTTTCAAAATGACCTTGATTTAGTTTAGTTCACTATTGAATTATAAGAATATTTATGACATAATATACATTTTTGTAACTAAGACATCAAATCATTTCATAGTACAAATGCAAAAGAAAATGGAAAGAAACAATAAATGAAAAAGAAAAGAAACGAGAGGAAAAGTTGTCATGTTTTTCTCATTGAATTACATACTTTTCATTGTAAAACTTTAAAAAGGAATGAGGTGAATATACAAGTTTGTTTGTTTGTTTGTTTGTTTGCTTCTTTAGAAGAAAAGTATGATGATTTAGTATGTTAGTGTATTAGGGAAATAATTAATTATTAGTATTAGAAAGGGGGGTTGTGGATAATACAATAATTTCAATAGTTGAGATCATGAGTCAATTGAAGCTAGATCACCATGGAAAACCTGGAAGCATTGCATGGCTGGTTCGACCTATTGTGGGACTCTCCAGCAATGCAGATTTACGATCCCGCCTCACAAGATTCTAACACAGGATTAATCCGTCACGCGAGTGAGCAATTAACCACTAGACCACTGATCTGGCCAGCATCCAACGGTGTTAATGTCTACATTCAACTAATCCACGAAAACAAGGGTCACCATTGTCATCCGTGAGTTACTATCTCACAACAGACTCAGTAGTCTAGAGGTTAAAAGTTTGTGCGTGAGACCGAAAGTTCTGAGTTCGAATCCCGCCAGCGGAATCATGGATGCACACTGCTATTTAGGAGTCCCACAATAGGACGGAACGGCCGTCCAGTGCTTCTAGACTTTTCATGGTGGTCTAATATCAATCGGTTCATGATCTCAATCATAAACAACATATATTCATTCAGATTAGTTTATCAGTTAAAAGCAATCTTCATTCTTACACAAATAACAGACAGATATTAATGGATTTAGTGCATCTAAACTTTACTACCTTTCGTGATCTGTTATATAACATATATGATCAAGATAGTGTGAGATATCAGCAGTGCGCATCCACCCAGGACCTACTGGCTTCGCGCCTTAGCACTTAACCATTAGACCACTGAGCCGGCATCCAATGGTGTTAGTGTCTAACATCAACCAATCGCGCAATTTCGTGGATCGTGGACGCGCAGTGCTGAGGAGTCCCATACTAGGACGAAACGGCCGTCCAGTGCTTCCAGGTTTCCAACGGTGGTCTAACATCAATTGATTAATGTGAGATAGTTTTGTATGACACTGGTTAGTTTTTAATGCTTGAAGTTAGAAATATAGGGTATTAAATTCTAACTCAATAGCTTAAAAGTAACATGTACTCTGTGAAACTAGAAGGAATCATGAGTACAAAACAAAATTTCCACAACTCTCAATTGAACTCAATATATAATCCAAATTATTTCAAAAGACTTAGAATAGATGAACCTTAGCTAGAATTGGAATCCAAAACGATCATTTCTTCTTATTTGAGACTTATGAGAAGGATGTACCTCTATCAATATAATCCACACAGAATATGTATCTGTCAACAAGAACTGATCAAAAATTGATCCTACATATTAACATAGGGCAAATTCAAGATCATACTATTGTTAACATCTTAGACGATTCATCTTTTTGTCAGAACAGAAATGTTTCATGTACAGTTCGAAAACGGATGAAATCACTCGTGTATACACATAGATGTAATAACAAGTAATTCGTAAAGAATGTATCTATGTTAGTCGGTGTAGCAACCATTAAGAATCAATGAATACTTGACAACTATTTCATACTAGAATGAAACTCCTCAATGGTAAGCTAGTTCATTGATAATCAAACCCAAAGTTTCCAGATCTTGTGGAGAATTTTTAACTGTTGAAACTATGAAGTTGAAGTCAAACAGTATGATTTCATTCAGAATATGATATTACCATAACTATTATTCAGAAGCATTGATGACAGTTATTTTTTACTGTTAAATTGATGGATCTCCCTATGAAAAAGTCACATGTTGTAAATTAACTAATCACTAACTTATAATCAACTGGTATTGATTAATGTGAATAGTAAAGTTTCACACGAAATCAATTCTGGCTCGAATACTTCACAATAGTATTAGATAACACAAATAAGAATTCCAAGGGAGAAATCAGTACCCTACGGATTATAAATGAGTTTACCTACGAAGTATCAACTATCATTGTTGTGACTTTATGTCCGGCTAGTTATCAGGTGATTTATCCACCAATCAAATACGACTTATACAATCTTAGCACTGTGTCGCCAAACCAATGACGTTCAACCGCTATGAGCAGTCTAGTGTCCTTATTTGTCCTATGTCCGCCTAGCCCGTCCACTTGAGTTCAGAGCACCGATACCAGCTCCCACTATGGGAATCGAATCGAATCATTTATTTCAGACATACTGAGTTACTTATATCAACCAAACAGACCACAACGCACCATAAAATAGAAAATAACTTGTGTACACAAATAAGCTCAAAAACTGGCTGTAAACGTGGGAGGCAGCAGTCAATAAACTGAACATAGCTTAAGAACAATGAATCGTACAATAATAAATTATAAGTCAAAATGAAGCTTATAACAAGAGGAATATAGATATACATAATGTAATTATTGAAAAGTTATACCATAAGAATATATAGATGATATTAGTCCATTAATAAGTCTCGGAAGTTTCTCATGATTTAATCTTCGCTCGGATATCACAATCATGTAATATAAGTTCAAGGAGGGGGTGATGGTCGGGTTAGTAACTACATTCCACTATCTAATACATATATACTTTGTAAATTAATGTATTTCTTTCTTCAATCCTTTAGAATCAACCAATTGATTGTATTATAAACTTACAAATGATTATCTTCTTTCAAGAACTAATCCATATTCAATTTTATAATCATTTAAAATGGATGAAAAAATGAAAGAACCCGAAGATGACGGCGACCAAGAAGAAGAAGAGAAAGAAAAAGACGAAAAAGAAAAAGAACAAAGAATAGAACAATCAATGAAATCTAATTTAGAATGTTTCAATTCAATTGATAAAACTCAACATAATATACTTGATGATTATGATTTAAGAGGATTTAAACGTTATTCATATTTATTACATCATCAACCAAGTACAGAAACTGATAGTTTTGAAATGTTTCAATCAGTTGGTTCTACAAAATTTCTAGAAAATTTAGATGATTTTAAACATTCCACAAGTGGAAGTTGGAAATCGGTTCTTTCAAGTTTTGAAGATATTGGCACCAATCATAATAACTTTAAGATTACTACTACTACTAATAATAATAATAATAATCATTATCATCAAATCATTGAAGTATCTCCACATTCATTGAAACCTATTAAGGCACAACCAAACTCTTCTTCTTCTACGACGACGACGACTAGTACTGCTACTAGTACTACAATGAATGTTCCATCTAATCAACAAATTCAAACTGAGGATTTACAAACATCCAAAGAACAATCTGATTGTTCATTTAAATCAATAAACAATACATTAATCGATAATAGTTCTAGTATCAATGATCCTAATGAACAACATTGTCATTTACAACTAGATAATAATAATAATAATAATAATAATCATGTAATAATGCATAAAACTGATTTATTCGATCATGAAATACGTAGATTTGAAGTAAGAAAACAATCAAGATCATCAATTTTATCAAATAATCAATTTAGACGAACAAAATTTCTTAAACAGAAATATACTGACCCGAATACCACTACGACTACTACTGTTACTACTGCTACTACTACTACTACTACTACTTGTAATAATAATAGTAATAGTAGTATTAGTAATCATAATGATACAACAGAGATGATGCGTAACTCTTTATACAAGTTAAAACGAACTGCTACAGAGCATATTACTAATCGATATAAATATCATGATCGAATGGAATCCTCTTTAATGCATCACCATCATCATCATCATCATCATCAACAACATCATCAACAACAACATCATTCAAATGAGAATAGTATTATTCCAGATAATACTATAATTATACGTCGTAAATCAACTATTCATTGTGTATATCCAAGACATTATAGTGATACAATGAGACAAGATGAACAATTCAATTCTCATACTATAGACTATGTAGATAAGAATGATAAGAATTCTATACTTGTTAATAGTAATGGTAATAGTAATGGTAATGGTAATAGTACTAGTAATCTCTATGAATATGATACTCATTTAAATGAATATAGATTAAGTGATAATTTAAAATCATCATTTGAAAAAGAAGATGAAATGAAATCCGATAATTTATTAGAACGTGAAGCTCATATTGGTGCATTAGCATTAGCATGGGCATCAGGTACGCATAAACCAAAAAAATCTCCATATGATAAACATACATTAAGTAGAGAAACATCAGATAGAGTACAAGTGAAATTACGACAATATAATCATACTACTAATAATAATAATCATAGTAAATCATCTATAATGAATCCTGAAAATTTTAAATTCAATGATTATACTACTAATAGTAGTAAAAAGAATAGAATGACATTATCTACATTACGTGAGCTTAGTACATCCATTTTTACTCCATCAAAAAGGAATTTGAGTAAGTTTAACAAGATACTCTTTATATATATACATATATATATACTACTATTTTCCTGATAACTGCTAGTAGTATGAAGCTGTTGATTATTAATATGTCTATAAATACATAACCCGGTACTTCCACCAGCTCTTAAATGCCCTGATACGGCCAAGAGTGAGGAGAATCAGCTCTTCCTCTACAAATGCTCTCACATGACTACGTGCATACAACCACTATCAGCGAAGCCGTACTCACTGACTTCTCGCAACACGAGTGTTGTATACAAAACTAAGAGGACGAAAAGTGAATGTTCGGAATCTAAACAGTGTTGGTGGACACGGAGAGTTCACCCAGAAGATTTGGAAAACCCTCATTCCAAACCAATGGTGTACATGGGCTCCAGGATCTTGACAAAACAAATGGTGTATGAACCAATTGTTGGTCACAGGCTAGCATGGGATCGCCTTGTGGACTAGACCTCTAGGTCAAAGGCTCCGAATGTGGCTCCCTGCTTCAGTTTGGGCACTCGTGCAGTATCCCACTCCTCACAGAAATCGAATGGTTTATGTGGCGCATATCTATTTGGTTCCTCATTGTACCAAAGTTTATGTGCTTAAATACATAAATAAATAAAATATATAAGCACCGATTAGGTAAATATTCGAAATCAAAGAGAACTGAACGAATGTTTCATCCAGGTTGATAATAATTTATGACGATAATTAACTTCAATAGAAATAAAATACTCAATTATTTCCCTCATGATATTCATTTGTTGATATATCATAAATGGATCAATGTTAGACTACCAATGAAAATCTGTAATCACTGAACGGCCATTTAGTTCTAGTATGGGACTCCCCAACAGTGTGTATTCAAGATCCTATACGTGAAACTCAGATTCAGAACCTTCGATTAGAGTAGAAAATAAATTATCTCAACTTTACTTGATCTATCATTTGTTGTCCTAAAAGAATTCATCAAAAGTACTATGGAATTATAAACAATGGATTTGTATTAAGGAAGTCTGGAAATGGCCCTGAAAGTCTTGATGACCATTTATTACTTCAAAATAAATAGTCATGAAATCAATAGCTTATTGAAGATTAGGAATTACGAACTGAAATAAGCTATAATGCCAAAACTCTTTAACGAAATGAATGAATTAGTTTCGCGCCAAAATTCAAGGCTTGTTATCGTAAATCTGATTGGTTCGCTCATAAATTATATTCTCGCCCTAGATTGTGCTGGTTTTAAATTTTCGCCACAAAAAAACTAAATCTCTAACTTGATTCTGATTGATTTGCTCGATAATAAAATTACAATAAATTAATTATCAGAAGGGATTTTGTGGACATTAACACCATCGGATGCCGGCTCAGTGGTCTGGTTGGTTAAACACCTGCAGCGAGACTGATAGATCCTGGGTTTGAATCTCGTGGTGTGCGGGATCGTTGATGCGAGTCCCATACTAAAACGAAACGGCCGTCCAGTGCTTCCAGGTTTTCCATGGTGGTCTAGCTTCAATTGACTCATAATTTCAATCAGTGAAATTACTAAATTAATTGATCAATATAGTTTGTGTGAACATATTCATTGTTCTTAAACCTAGAATTAGATAACCTAACGGTAACCGATTAAAACAGCAACAAAAACCAGAATGAAACTTACATACTTAGGCCGGTTACTGCCAATGGAGCCAACCACCATTCTCCAACACACTCTGTCCTGGGTCTTCTTTCCTAGTCCTTTCCAATTGTTGTTTATTCTCCTCATGTCTGTCTCCATTTCTCAACGTAACGTGGTCTTCCTCTTCTCCTTTGGCCTTGAGGATTCCAAGTGAGGGCTTGTCTCGTGACGCAGTCTGGTGCCTTCCTCAATGTGTGTTCTATTCACTTCCAGTACTTCCTGCTGATTTCTTCCTCTCCTGGAATCTGGTTTGTTCTCTCCCATAGTAGGTTATTACTGATAGTGTCTGGCCAACGTATCCGAAGTATTTTGCATAGACAACTATTAATAAACACTTGTATCTTTTGGATGATGGCTTTCGTGGTTCTTCAGGTTTCCGCTTCATACAGTAGAACTTTCTTCACATTTGTATTGAAAATTGTCACTTTGGTGTTGGTTGACAGTTGTTTTGATTTCCAGATGTTCTTCAATTGTAGATATGCTGCTCATGCTTTGCTGATTTGCGCCTTCACATCATCAATGGTGCTGTCCAGATATGCGAAGGTTTTTACATCTTCCAAATCTTCTCCGTCAAGTATAATTCGATTGGTTCAAGTTAGATCGATATAATTTTTGCCGAATTTTCTTTCTTTTATTATTTGCTAGCGATTTAAATCATTCCTATTTGCTTTGTTTTTGTCGTGTGTGTGTGTGTGTGTTTGTTTTTGTTTTGTTTTAGTAACCAGTTTTACCCATCATCCAAACGTTACTCATCGACAGAAAGCCCATTATTCAATTCATGAAACTGATAATCTTGTTCACAGTAATAGTACTTATCGACCTAATCATGATGGAAGTAATATTCCTACTATCGCTAATACTACTACTACTACTACTACTACTACTACTACTACTATTACTACTACTCAAAATAATAATAGTAGTAGTAATAGTAACAAAACTGATCATCATTTAATACCTCATAGTATTAAACAAGCAATTATTAGAAATACAGCAAAAATTGCTATCTCACCAATATTGAATACAAATGAAGAGAATGATAATCATTCATATAATTCAATAGATCCAATCTGTGAATTAGATCAATTAGAACCATTCAATAGAAAAGATGATCATCTACATGAATCACATTCTATTGAACAATCATCACAGTATCGTCAACAACAACAGCAACAACAACAACAACTACAACAAAGTGAAGAACTACGTAAACTAATCGATAATGAATCACAACGAATGATCCATAGTCAAAAATCTTCATTACAATCTGAACAATTACATGATATCAATGATATATTTGAAACGAATAATAATAATAATAATAATGATGAAACAAATAGACCAATTGGTATACGTGCTAAAATACGTCGTAATGCAGAAGATTTACGTTCATTATATGGTACTAGTGGTCCACTTGGTTCAGTTCAACCAACAATGAATTATAAAACATCAAATCGTGGAATTGGTTGGCGTTTACATTGGCGTAAAATATTTAATGAAAGACGTAGAAAATTAGCTGATTATTCATTATTTTTTGCTGTAATGGGTATTCTATTAATGGTATTTGAATTAGAAATGATTATGGCTAAAGTATATTTAAGGGTATGTATTATTATATTATACGAATAAAGTAAGGTACTAAATCTTTTCGCTAAGCTTATAAAATTAGTCAAATAGACATATTTTTTTTTAATGGTTAAGATCATGAGTCAGTTGAAGCTAGACCACCATGGAAAACCTGGAAGCACTGGACAGCCGTTTCGTCCTATTGTGGGGCTCCTCAGCAGTGCGCATCCACGATCTCGCCCCCTGCGAGATTCGAACCCAGGACCTACTGGTTTCGCGCCCGAGCACTTAACCCATCTGATATTTTTTTTAGTTTAGAGCGGCGAGACTCTAATTTATGGACAAGCCAATCGGAAGCGTTTTAGTGATTTCAAGGTTACGGTGCCAACTTCAGTGCTTAGTGCTAACGTACGATCGGTTCACAACGAATTTTGTTCAAAACGTGATAATTGAGCGTCTATAACAAATAAAACGGCGAGACTATCAATCAGATATAAGATTATAGATCTCGGATTTTAACGCGAAAGCCTTTCATCCATCTGGCTAAATAGATTTCTTGCATTATAGCTGATGTCAGTTCGTGATGAAACCCCCATATATAATTCCTAAGGCAAATTACGACAGTTATCGCGAACTGGATAATAAAAGCACCAGTAACACTGGCTGCAGCCAGGTACTACAATATATACGGATGTTTGGAGAGTGTACAGACTCCTACATAGTCTTGGTTATGTGCAACGTGTCGTTATCCACAAGTAGCATTTTGTGCACTCAACAACCGGAGTGCACATAGACAATATTGGGACTAAGTATTCGAGGCTGAAAGAGTTTTTGAGACTTTATCATGGCTCCAGAGGCCGACTATTCTGTAGCCGTATGGATGATTCCCTTTACTACATGCATTAAGATTTCACAACCTCTGAACCTCTTTCTAACCTTGACAAGGTTTTAAACCACGTATAAGAAGTGTATCCACTTTATTTCCTTGGTTTTGTATAATATATTTTTACAATACACTGACTGTTTGCTGGTTGGCTAATATTTCTCAAGGTCACTTAAGATTCATTCAAAGGTCGTCCATAAATTAGAGTCTCGCCACTGGGAGGCCATTGATAGTTTTAGAATTCCACTACATGATTCAAGTTAGAAATTTAGATATTTATATTATAACTCAATGATCTGATGGTAAATCGTCTACTGTGAAACTTGGAGATCCTGGTTTTTGTTTGTCTTTGTTAGTTGTGGATAAGCATTGCCAAGGATACCTCACTAAGACAAAACAACTTTTCAGTCTCTCCTGGTTTTGAATTGTTCTATAGTTATAGCCACCCAGTGATGTAAACGGTAGAATAGACATCTTAACAAACAGATTAATTTTCATTAGATTAATACACTATCCAGACAGATAATGATTATCAGAAGGGGATTTGTGGAGATTTTTTTAGAAATTTCACTGGTTGAAATCATGAGTCAGTCGAAGCTAGACCACCATGGCAAACCTGGGATCAACTTCGTGGATTGGTTGAAGTCCGACATTAACACCGTTAGATGCCGACTCAGTGGTCTAGAGACTGATAGTTCCTGGGTTCGAATCTCGCAGGGGGCGAGGTCGTGGGCGCACACTGCTGAGGAGTCCCATAATAGGAAGAAACGGCCGTCCAGTGCTTCCAGGTGTCCAATGGTGGTCTTGCTTCAATTGACTAATGATTTCAACCAGTGAGATAGTGATTAGCTTTTAAGTCAAATATACACGTTCCATCTTACTTAGGATTTGTCAACTTAATGTAGCTGCACCCTACTGTTGTTCTCGTTGTCTACACTTAGACTTGATTGCAGTACTTATCTCGCTGAATACTAATATATGCGCATTTGTCAACTCTTACATAGAATGAAACTAAAAATGTTTTAATTTCAGTTAAAATATCAACGACGAGGTCATATAAACCATTACAAAGTAAATGAAAATTCATACCCGTTTACACGTGGATGCGTATTAAAACTCAGTAGCTAAGTGGATAACGCAAAGGCTTTTGAAGAGAACGTTACTGAGTTCAAGTTCCGGTGTGAATATCAACTCTGCGATGCACGTACATCCAGCTAATAAGTCCTAAGTTGAACGAAGCGCACGTCCTGTATCCCATCTATCTTTGTTCATACACTACATAGTTATTGCAACATTTAATGGATAGTATAGTAAGATATTCTGATTGGAAATCAAGTTTATACTATTGTGAACTAAATCACTCCTATCAGCATCTTATCCTGATAGTTATTATCCGAAATGACTGACAGCTAGATTTTAACTATAAGTTATAATATGCATTTCAATAAACTTGATACTTTAATTAATTTAATGTATTACATTGTAGTGCGGCGTCGAGTCGCGGTTGACTATGATCACCACTACAGGAAGACTACGTCCCAGTTAACCGACAAGATCCCCCGTAAGCCAAATATCAGAAGACAGTTGATGGCTGTAGGTGAGATGTATTTGTTGACGATCTCGCGATGTCGAAAGAATACCGAGATCGTGTCAGGTTACAAGTGTGGTTACTGAGCGTAACCGAATTCGTGTAAGGTCACAATAAACGGAAGAAATTATGTGTTTTGGTACAGTTAAACAAACAAGTACAGTAAAACAATCCCTGGTACAATCGGTTATAATAATAATTGCTTCCATTACATCAATCGCGTTCTCTTGATAAAAGTAGGTTACTACAGGAGCCCCTCGTTAGAAAGGGTTTACACTTTCGATACGAAGCTGTTTAGTTCGTGGGACTGATCGGCAAACGTGCGATTGTAGAAAGAAAGGGTTGGCAGGACAGGGAGTGATCGTTGATCCTTGAGTTGCCACTAAAGGCCTTTTACGCAGAACGGTGCCAAAGGAAACATGCCGTACCTGTTGCTTGATTTAGCGTACCACACCAGAGTGGTCTGTATCCAGGATCTGAAGATTGTGTTCGTAGGGGTCCGGACCAGAAAACGCTGCAGACATAGGACGAAACCACGTTGAGCCAAGAAACCAGAAGTGACCATAACAACCAAGCGCAAGACCAAATATATGCCAGATATATTCGGAACCAAAATATCGACTGAGTGCGTTGACAAGAGCTTGGGTGATCAGACCAGCTTTCGCCAAAGTTGACTGAAGTCAACAGTATCAAACGGGAGATGGTTGGAGGCGTGGTCTCAGGGTACAAAACAAATCAAAGAAAAGGAGAAAAGATGTAGCATGCATGTAGTATAGGAATAGTCCTACACTGTATCCATTGTTGGTTGTGCGGTTAGTCGCGAAAGCGTACGGGTAGGTGTACTCGGCGACCGGAACGTGAGACGGTAGTCTCGTTCGTACTTCGTGATCCTGCAACCTCGTCCAAAGTCACAGGCGACGTGTTCTGCTGATCTGGACGTGAGACGGAAGTCTCGTCCGAAGATGGCGCAGATGACACCTGCTGTTGACCGGGACGTGACAATGAAGTCTTTGATGTATCTAGCAGAAGATCCGAGGTAGATGTAGAGATCCCGCTAGAAGGCTTTTGGGTCTGGCATTGAGTCCTAACTTATCAGGTAGGGCACTGTCATCGACGTGTGCTGGTTTGAGACGACCAATGCTGAACAGGTAGATAACTCTCGAGGGAGAGCTATCTGTTGATGTTGTATCCAAGTTGACACCGGAGACAGCGTTCGCATAAATTCAGACAGTTGTTGGACATAGTTTGATTTACCAAAATAGTTGCTGTTCTGTGGTGTGAAAAATCCCCCAGGCAGACGCAATGTCGTGCCGTATACAACTTCAGCTGCAAAACATTGAATATCTGCCTTTAAGCTCGTTCTGATACTTAAGAGGACCAGCGGTAAGGTTTCGTACAATTTGTTGTTTTCGTGCGCTCGAAGAGCACTTCTAAGTTGGCGATAAAACCGTTCAATTTAACCATTTGAAGCTGGGTGGTAGGCGGTAGTGCGTATGCGTTCCGTACAAAGCAGCCGGGTCAGTGAGGAGAATAGTTAATTGGGGAAATTTCTCGAATAAAGTGTGGAATATATCCCCGGTACAATTGGTTATAGTAATAGTTTCCATTACACCAATCGCGTTCTCTCGACAAAAGTCGGTCACTACGACATTATAGTTTCACCTTAAAAGTACTGACTTGAAATAGTCATTAATCTGTAAATCCGTTCAAGTTGTTCTTTGTATCGCACATTGATATGAATTAAATACGTACTTACTTCACTTACGCCTGTTACCACTCGTGGAGAAGTACAGGCCGCCCATCAGTATTCTCCATCCAACGCTGTCCTGGAGAATCCTTTCTAATCTCTTCCAATTGTCATTCATCCTTTTCATATCTGCTTCTATCCCCCAAAGCAGTGTGTTCTTCAGCCTTTCTCTTTTCCATTTCTTTTTAGGATTCCAAGTTAAGGCTTGCCTCGTGAAACAGTTTAATGATTTCCTCAATATATGTCGTATCCACTTCCAACGTCTTTTCCTCATTTCCTCTTCACTTGAAAGCTGGTTTGTTCTATGCCACAGAAGGCTGTTGTTGATGGTATCCGGTCAATAGATATTGAGTATTATGCGTAGACAATTGTTTATAAATACTTGTACCTTCTTGATGACGGTTGTAGTAGTTCTCCAAGTTTCAGCTCAGTATAGTAAACCTTTTTTGACGTTCATATTGAAGATTCTGATTTTGATAATGGTTAAAAGACCGTTATTTTGAGTTCCACATGATTTTCAATTGTAGAAATGCGACCTTTGCTTTGCCATGAATTAATTAATCAATGTATTAATCACCTACTAATTTATTATTCTAAAAATGACCAATGGTGTTCGACCGGTATGATCAGCCTAGTGTACTTATTAACCTTTTGTTCGCCTAACCCGTCCAGTTGAGTCCAGAACACCAATACCAGCTTCTACTATGCGATTCATGTATTTTAAACATACTTGGTTTATATACCAGCCAAACAGACCCATCACACCATAAAATAGGAAATAAAATCATACATAATAAAGCCAAAATGTGGCTATGTGCGTGGGAGACTGTAATCAATACACTGGATACAACTTAAGAACAGTAAATTGTACAATAATAATTGTTAGGGATGCTGAGGAATATACCAATCATTATCATGTTAAGTCTAATGATGTCCTTGGACTCTAAATGGGCATTCCCTATTGGCCATTATTTATTTCACTCGTTAAATATTGTACAGATGTTGTTTTCTATTTTTATGGTACGTTGTGGTCTGTTTGGTTGGTATATAAATAGAGTATGTTTGAAATATAACGATTCATAACTCAGAGGCTGGGTCTTGCGTTCTGGACTCGACTGGCTGGGCTAGACAGGGAGACGGGACCAGTCGGGACTCTAGGTCGTCCTTACGTATTTTACGTGTCATTGAGTCGATCGATAAATACGCTGCGCATCTAACCTGCAGTCCACCCGTTACAACAATAATCTATAAGTCAAAATAAAGTTTATAAGAAGGGGAATATAGATATACACAATCTAATTACTGTTTAGTTATACCATAAGAATATATATATATATAGAATATTAGTTCATTAATAGGTCTCAGAAGTTACTTGTAGTTTAATCTTCACTAGGATATAACATAAACATTGAATAGATTACGCAATAGAAACTTTTTCTGGTTAGCGTTTTTTTTAGCGAGTTAGTTTTCTACGGGATGGGGTCGCTAACTCCATGCCCAACCCTCCTCCTTTATCCGGGCTTGGGACCGGCAGTAGCCCCCAAAGGGACTCCAGGCGGAGTTGTAATAGAAACTTACATTATAAAAAAAATATTGATTTATATTCTTATTTATTCTGTTTTACTTTTCTTTCATCTATAGACATCAATCTATTCCATATTGGTAAAATCATTGATCAGTGCATCAACACTTATTCTAGTTGGTCTTACACTAGTCTATCATGCTGTTGATGTACAAGTAGGTAGATTTTCATTTTGTATTGAATTTCATACTCTTATAAATACATATGTATATATTGGCGGCTCAAGATCTGACTCCAATTAGATCGTATGATTGATTATTATTGAAACATACATTCCGCTAATCCTCGTATATTATCATCGACTTAGATCGCATTAGTGAATAACGGAATTATCACAATTGATTGATCACTGGGTGGCGATCAATTTCATGTGTGTCTATTCCTTATTAGTGCAGATCGAATGCTATCGATTATGTGGTCAACAGTCTAGATGACTCGACACTGCGGGCACTATATATTGAGATTATATGGTGGTTAGAGGTAGTCGACAGGAAACCCTGGACTCGGGTCTCGTGCTACTTGGCACTCGTCAGCAAGGTGTACCTGTAATCTTGAGAGAACTAGTGCTCCCTGGCGGATTCGAAGCACGAAACCCGGGTTCAGGGTTTCCTGTCGACTACCTCCAACCACCATCTAATAACAGAATTAGGTAGGTCACATACGATAATGGATTTTTAAATATGTATACTTCGTATTATCATTGATCAGAAAGCGAAGCGAAACAAAACGATACACAATGGTGAAGGTGAGCGACATAACTAAATTTAACCAAGCGTTAATAGACATATATAGTTGAACGAAAATAAGTTACAAACGTGTGGTGAATAGGAAATGCAATGTGCACACATACGCTTACATAAAAACAGTTGATGTTGATAAGTGAATAATTAACAAGGTTAAAATTTCGCTTGAAGTGAATGGATAAGTTGGCTTATCTGGAAGCCAGAACAAGCTATGTGGACTTAACATAACGACCGACACTAAAATATATATGTATGAACATTGTATGCACTCATCATTCATCTAGTCAGTCAGCTACAACGTAGGACCAGGCAAATATATGCATCGGTCCAAGTTGCCATACCTCATTAACACAACAAGATGAACACCGATTACATAGAAGTACTTAGTTCAATGGTGGTAATATATAAAAGAAAGATTGCATATAAGAATATAGTACAGGAAGAAAGAATTAGTTCGTAAAAAGAAAGGCATAAAGTGACGCCATCGATTCTGAGCCATGTTACACAAAGTCTCCAACCATTGGTTATGATAGTCTTACGAACCGCAACCAAGTAGTCTGCATCTACGAACATGGCTCAGACTAGAAATTAGTGAGTTCAAGGACTGATGATATGTTTTGGTTTGGCCGTCTCTAACTTTCTACCAACCATCCCCTACACTAGCCAAATATTCATCTAGTACAGACTTATGTATTCATCTGTAGGCCATTTCTTTTTATATCATCACTGTTAAGGTAGCTGAATTTGATTTTTGTTTGTGTGTTTGTTTGTTTTGAACGTTTATCCTTTCTCATTGTGTGCTTTTGTGTATCGAAATTTATATATTGCTGTTTATGGTATCCAGTTTAACAACTAAATCTCACTATTTTGGGGACGAAAACACAAGTGGGGACAATCAAATGTATATAAACATCAAAATTACAGAAACTCTTAGTAAAATCTGAGAACCATACAGTAACTTCTTTATCTGTAAAATGTCAATCAGTTGTCTTACACTTGATTGTTCCTAGATTTTTATACCAGTTGAGTTCACTTCATGTTCTTTCCTCCTCGATTTTTTCAACCTTCCGTGGCCAGACATTTTATTCCTGACTAGTGTTATATACTACTTATTTACTTACTTACTTACTCCTGTTACTCCTAATGGAGCATAGGCTGTCGACCAGCATTCTCCAACCCACCCTGTCCTGGGCCTTCCTTTCTAATTCCATCCAATCCTTGTTCATTTTTCTCATGTCTATCTCCATTTCCCGGCGTAATGTGTTCTTTGGTCTTCCTCTTTTCCTTTGGCCTTGAGGATTCCATGTGAGGGCTTGTCTTGTGACGCAGTTGGGTCGAGATAATTAGCACACATCACAGAATAACTGCTTTTTGCTAGTTCAGTAATAATGGGTTATACTCATCCCCATATGATACTTGTGCTAATACTTTAAATTTAGTTAATTGAACTTATTCATATTCAGCGGGCTCGTAAAATGCACATTGCTGAGGAGTCCAACAATAGGACGAAACGGCTGTCTAGTGCTTCCAGGTTTTCAATGGTGGTCTAATATCAATCGGTTCATGATCTCAATCAAAAACTAAGTAATAATTTGAAACCTATCAACAATAACAACTGTAAGGATGTACACTGCTAATTATGATACAGTGTTGAGTAGTATCAGAGCTCCTGGAACTTTAAAATCTCTAGTGTTAATATGCTTTACTTTCTGTGAATGAACTATTTTCACTTATGAAATTTATTCAAAAATTGTACATTTACGAAAGTTTAGAAATCAGTTAGGTAACCTTTTATTGTGTGTGCTACTGATATCGACAGATATAAGTAGTATGTAACATCAATAGAAAGTAAAATACCCGAACTGAGGTTAAGAATATTGAAGAAAAAGAGAACGAGAACAAAGAATGATTGACGTCGAAATCAAAGAATAGTGAAGTCTGAAACGATTGATTGACATTTTGCAAATAAAGGAATTACTGTATGATTCTCAGATTTTATTACCTTCGATTGTCCCTCACTTGTGTTCTCGTTCACTACACTATAACCTAAGTATTTAGTAGACTATATTAGTTGTCTATGAGTCAATTATTCTAAACCATTAGGTTACTTAACATTAATCGGTTAATTGTAAACAGAATGAAAACTTGGAACATGAAATTTGTTGTAAGTCTTTATTATTAATAATAATTAAATTTGCTAGTGAGCTACCAATGCTCCTCCTCGTCCTCCTCCTCCTCCTTCATCTGGGCTTGGGACCAGCAGTAGCCTCAGAAGGGCTTCAGGTGGAGTTTTAAAAGTAATGAACAGTACTGAGTAGGATCTAGATGTAGATGAATTACAGCTGATATAATGACGATCAATAATCGGAACTTATAACATTATCCATATAACCATTCTAATAGTCACCCCTCTAGTCTTCTGATACAACTACAATCCAATTGAGAGCGTTAAACAACAAAACTTCAATACGAACAAACAAAGCCCAATAGTTATAATGATCAAATGTTTTTTTGGTAAAAATAAAGACTGAATATATTCACTTTATCTAATGTGAGTTACATCACATGAGGTCTTCAACTGAAAATTATGACTATCTTATAAATCCAAACTAAGAAATCTGTATCGTTCAATACAACCTAGTCGAATAGTTCCTCTCAGTCTTCTAATCAACTAATGTCTATGTTTACTATTATTATCCTTCAGAAATTGACTCAAAGGTGAACATTTATTAGATTGGTTACTACAATCTTCATTGATGGTTCTACTATATACTAGAGACACTTCAAAGGCTTCCACGATTAAATGCATGTCACTTAAACATGTCTTTAACCTTCAGAATTTATATTTTATATGGTTAAAATTATTCAGAATGAATCGTTGAATAATACATTCACTACTGTTGTAGTATACAAGAACACGAATGGGGGCAATGGAATGTATTCGAACACAAAATTACAAAGTATCTTACTAAGATCTGAGAACCATAAAGTAAATAGTTAATTTGCAAAATATCAATCCATTGTCTCGAAATTGACTTTTCCTTTTGCAAATCTCAGTTTATCATCTTAGATTTCATTGTTCATACATTTGCATGCCAATTACTTTCCGTTCCTGTTGTTTCCTTCTCGATCTTCTACTAAAATACATCGTAATATACTACTTACGCGGATATATATAGATCACACCACACTATTACCGATGAACTAATGAATATATCGTATTCTAATATACCGTTGTTGCTACCTTGACGTGGTGGTCGAGCTTGCCTATCGTGATGAAGCAACCGAGCTATACTGGCTGCAACAACCGTTCCTCAAAGTCCTACCACGTCAGACAGGTCGGTTGAAGAGCGGTAATACTAGAAGCAACAAACCCAAGGTCCGAAGGCGAAGTCGTACTACTGACTGTACAGGTGTGACAGCAGTAAGGCGGTTTCTCCAGACAAACAGCATGACAGCGATGCTGCCTTCCCACAAAGAGCGGTGGAGTTAGAAATGGTCAATTCAAAAAATGCACATCTCACCTTATCCAACGGATATCCGTCTCCAGTGGTAAGGTCTCAACAAGTACGGAGCTAACACAAAAATTACTCATAAAATGGTCGTGTGTGACCGACCTCAAGCAGTTGTCCCTTGGGTACTGCGGTCACGCTCTCAGGTCAATAAAACCAACTCTAACCCAATTTCCTTTTCAGGTACCTCCAGAAGAACCCTTCCACGGTGTGGGCAACCGGGAAGTGAAAACCGCCCTCGTACCTCTAACAGCACTCAAGACCACTGTAATCATAATCAACCTCCCTGTACACAATCATTTGACCTTTTTTCTTCTTAATTTATCGTTAAAGTATTCCTTTTTTCTCTTTCTTCTTTCTTATTGTAGTTATTTTGTATTAATAATTGTATTGAAGATTGGCGTATAGCAATGAATTGTAGAAAAATTTCATTAACATTAATTGAAGTATTTATATGTCTTGTACATCCTCCACCAATTCTATCTAATTACAATATATATTCATATAGAAATTCATATTATACTGCATCAACATTAAAAAGTTTTAAACAATTTGATGATGTTCTGAATGATCAAGAACCCTTATCCTCATCATCATCATCCAGTATTCCAATGAATTCATATTATAATAGACCAATAACTACATTAATCTATGATTCCATATTAGATAATCATACACAAAGATTAAATGATTATTTACCATTTCCAAGTGTACCATTTATAAATGATCATCATAATGATATTCATTATGATGATAAACCTGTACCTATGATTATTTTAGAATTGACTTTTTCAATTCCAATGTTTTTAAGATTATATTTAATATTTCGTGTATTATTATTACATTCAACAATGTTTACTGATGCTGGTTCACGTAGTATTGGTGCATTGAATCGTGTGAAAATTAATGTTAGATTTGTATTAAAAACATTAGCTACAGTATGTCCCGGTACTATGTTATTAATATTTATATTATCTATGTGGATTGTAACAAGTTGGATTATGCGTGTATGTGAAAGGTAAGTTGTCGATTTCTTTCAATTTATAAATTTGACTACTTATAAGTAGTTAATATTATAACAACAAAAAATCAAACTTGCACACTAGTCGGATATGGCGACCTTCGAATCTTAGATGATTGAAATCATGAGTCAATTGAATTTAGACCACCATGGAAAACCTGGAAGCACTGGACGGCCGTTTCGTCCTAGTATTGTACTCCTCAGTAGTGTGCATCCACGATCCCGCCTCGCGAGATCCCAACCCAGGACCCATCAGTCTCGCACTTCAGCGCTTAACCAACTAGACTACTGAGCCCGTCGGCATCCAACGGTGTTAATGTCTAACATCAACCAATCCGGCTCAGTGGTATAGTTGGTTAAGCATCTGGCGCGTGACTGATAGGTCCTGGATTCGAATCTTACGGGATGGATGTGCACTGCTGAGGAGTCCCACAATAGGACGATACGGCCGTCCAGTACTTCCAGGTTTTCCACGGTGGTCTAGCTTCAATTGACTCATGATTTTAGTCAGTGAAATCTCTAAAATTTCCACAAAACCCCTTCTATGAATCTTATATGACCTTGAAGAGCATTAGCCAATCAGAAAACAATTGGTATGGAATAGAAGTATATAATATAAAGCCAAAGTATTAAAGTGGATACAGTTGTTTTACATGGTTCAAAAACTTTTCAAGGTTAGAAAGAGGTTTAGAGATTCTAAAATCGTAATCCATAAGGTAGAAGAAATCATCCATATAACTCCATAATAAACGGCCTCTGGAGCCATTGTAAGGTCGCAAAAACTGTCAACCTCGACCAGATACCTTTAATATTGTTTGTAAGCACTCCGGTTGTAGGGTCCACAAAATTGCGCTTGTGTATAATGACATGATTCACATAAGAAAGTTTATGTTGACATCTGTACGCTCTTCAATCATCCGTATATATTGCAGTACCTGGCTGCAGCCAGTGTTACTAGTGCTTTTATTATCCAGTTTGCAACAACTGTCACAATTTGTCTTATTTTCAATAGGGTCGAGTGAAAAAAGTTCCTGTTCTAGAAAACCTTTTCCTCCTATACATAATACATCGAAAGATAGCATCACTGTAGTCTGCCTAAGGTTCACATATCATTTGATTACCACAATCACAAATTAAGAAACTTCTTAGTAGTCCAGCTTACTGTAGCCGCTCAATTATCACGTCTTCTCCGATAAATCCAAGTCTACTTTAATCTTCCAGTTTGTTGTTATTTAGATTATTGTTTTAACTTAATAAAATGGTTAAAAACTCAATATTCTTAACAAAACTAACAACCTTGATCGATAAACTTAATATCTGTGCTCAAAATTCATGGATAGATTCGAAACTGTAACTAAGGTTTAGCAGAATTCAAGCTTAATTACATGATACTCTTGGTTAAAATAAGGATAGTTTTATGCTTGTAAAACTTTAGATATGCTCCCGAGCAAAAGTCATTTATTTATGGTCGTTTTAACTTAATTTTTAAGTATTACTTGAACTACTCATGAGTAGGCTGTTTATTTTGAGAAATATTTATTTCAAACATAATGAGATTCAATTGTTTTCGAATGCTTAGTATTCTGTTAATTGATATAACGGAATGAACAGGAATGAGATTTTTGATTTTTATTGAACTATTTTGTTTCTTGCTGACTGTAAGTTTGGAGTATCTTTAATGCTTAGAAATCAAATTATATAAATTTCGCGCGCGAGATTGAAGGCCCTCGGACCGAATCCTGCGTGCTGGACCGTGGATGCGCACTGCTGAGAAGTGCCACAATAAGATGAAACGGCTGTCCAGTGCTTCCAGGTTTTCAATAGTGGTCTAACATCAATCGGTTCATGATCTCAATCAAAAGTTTAACAATCTCCACAATCACTAAAATGATAAATTTTAATAGTTGAATTCATTAGTCGATCTAAAGTAGACCACCATTGAAAATCTGAAAGCGTTGGACGGCCATATATCTGTTCAAAACTGAAGGTTCTGTATACGTGATCAAGTATATATGTGTTCGATTTGATTTTTTTCTGAATTACGATAATTGTTTCCTAGTCCTGTACTAAATATAATAGTTTTGTGTATCAAAAGTATGATGTGAAGTATTAAACATCTAGTTGTATTAGACAAATGTTTCATCCTAGTATAGAACTCCTCAGTAGTGCGCATTCACAATCCCGCATTTAAGGGACTTGGACCCAGGACCTTCGATCTCGCGAGCAGACACTTAACCTTTAGACAAGTGAGCCGACATCCAGCGGTGTTAGTGTCTAACTTCAATCAATCCACGATATTGCGCGACCGTCTTATACTTGTTGGGATACTCAGGAAAATATCCCAAAAATTATCCTGTTAAGTCTAATGCTATCCTTGGACTTAAAATGGTATCATTTTCCTATTGGTCAATATTTACTTCACGTGTCGTTTCCCTACTGGTCAATATTTACTTCACGTGTCGTTTTTCTGTGGGCCAAATATTGTACAAATGTTATTTTCCATTTTATGGTGCGATGTGGTCTGCTTGATTAGTATATAAACAGAGTATGCTTGAAATAAATTATTCATATCTCAGAGGCTGAGACTTGTGTTCTGGACTTAACTGGTTGGGCTAGGCGGAAAGCGGGACCAATCGGAACTCTAAGCTGCTTATACGGGTTTACGCGTCATTGTTTCGATCGATAAGTCACTACTCTCTAATCGGCGGTCACAAGTTATAACAATACTATCTTTAGAGAGTGGCTGCCTTGCAACTGACAGGGGATCATGTATGCCCACTGCTGAGGAGTCTTATACGAGGACGAGACGATCGTCCAATGCTTCGAGGTTCTCAGTACTAATCTAGCTTCAATCAACTCATAATTTCAATTATTAAAGTGTTACAACAATCTCCACAAACTATCATTCTGACAATAAATTCGATCGTAAAATATCTGAAAAAACATCAATCTACAACTCAAAATCACAGTTTATTCATACTTCTACTTTGTAATGATCCATTCAAATCGATTTTACTTTTGGACTTTTCATTCTTCTTTCGTAACAGAGAACAAAATAAAGAATATGAGAAACTTTTAAATTCAATGTGGTTAATTGCTGTTACATTTTTAAGTATTGGCTATGGTGATATGGTGCCAAATACAAATTGTGGCAGAGCAATATCTGTATTAGCTGGTGTTATGGTAAGTTCTTATTATTATTTTTGATTCAAACACTATTATGATATAAATGATGATGTAAATTTCCAACAGGATAATCAATCAGTCAATCAATTGGTCAAGCATAACGTAGAACCTGGCACATTTTTACATCGACTCAAGTTTCCATATTGGCTTGGAACAGTAAGATGAAACTTTTCCTGTAAATCTCATAGTAGCAATGATAGTAATAGTGTTAATTGTAACAAAAAAGATTAGAAATCGAAGATACGATCTAAATAGAAAATATAAATAAACATTATACTATCTAAAAGATAATAATTTAATTCATAAGTCAATTGAAGATAGACCACCATGAAAAACCTGGAAACACTGGACAACTGTTTCGTTCTAGCATGGGACTCCTCAGCGGTGCACATTCACGATCCCGCCACACGAGTTTCGAACGCAAGATCTATCAGTCTCGTAAGGGAACGCTTGACCTCTAGACCATTAAACCGGCATCCAACGATGTGAATGTCTAACCTCAACTAATCCACGAATACTAGATTAGAGAAATTTTTTAACCTGTAGAGATTTTCTATTGTAGGGAAAATAAACAAATGTATAATAAATTATGTAATGCAATGAAAGCAGTTTAGTTTGACGATAATTTTAAGTTTTACATTAACATTAGCTGAAAAGTTATAGAAAATGAGATAATGATGAGTAATAGATTTATCTTGGATTAGTACTCTTTATTCATCCACAACGACCAATTTAGAAACGGTCTAACCCAAAACCTCTAGGATTTACATCATTTTATATACTCTGATAAGATCACTCTATATTGAGAATTCATAAGTTCGCATTTTTAACTTGATCAATTCATGAAACCATGTGATTATAATTCAGCATTTGATTGATAATATATATCTCTCACTGTTGACATGACTGAACTGTACTTATTATACCTTCATATTAGAACTTTTAGAGATCTATTCTAAAACCAAATTATTAATAAGAATAAGGTAATAACTTATTTCGATGCTTTGTAACGAACAAACCTGATTTTGGGACAATTTCGATTACGTAACTGAGACAACATTTCAATTAAACAGAATTCAAATTGGTTTTTTGCTTTATATCTAGTAGATCCTGGGTTCGAATCCCGCGGGGTGCGGGGTCATGGATGCACACTGCTGAGGAGTCCCACAATAGGACGAAACGGCCGTCAAACACTGCTTCCAGGTTTTCCATGGTGATCTAGCTTCAATTGACTCATGATTTCAACCTATTAAATTTATTTAGTTAAAACTTATGTACTTTATTCTTAATATTTTTATCACGAGTGTATTCGATCTAGACCACCATTGAAAACCTGGAAGCATTGGACAACAGTTTTGTTCTAGTATGGGACTTCTCAGAGGTGCGCATCCACTGTCCCGCACTCGGGGTTCGAACCCATGTCTTATCAGTCTCACGCACGAACGCTTAACCTTTAGACCATTGCTGAGAAGTTCCATACTAAGGCGAAGTGATCATCCAGTGCTTCTAGGTTTTCCATGGTGATCTAGCTTTAATTGATTCATGAATTCAACTATTAAGTTACTAAAATCTCCACAAAACTCCCTCCTGACATATAGTCAATAATCCAATAAGAATGTCTCAGATACACCACCATATTCTGTGAATTAGTCTAGTTGATAAATTTCCTTTTACGATTTGTAAAATTACTGGCAAGCCTCTATGTGTATAGTGTGACTACAATTTACAATTGTCCAACCAAGACAATATTGACATAAAGAGAGAGAGGACGTGTGTGTGTGTGTGAAATACGTTTATAGCGACCACAAGAAATATTATTTGTATGCTTTATCATATACATATCTGTGTTTATTCACTGGTCACCAGTATGGACATTAACACTGTTTGGTGCTGACTCAGTGGTCCAGAGGTTAAGCATCGATGCGCGAGACTGGAGGTCCTGAGTTCGAGTCCCGTATGTGAAATAGTGGATGCGCACTGTTGAGGAGTCACATGTTGGGACAAAACGGCCGTCCAATGCTATCCAGTTTTCAGTGGTGGCCTAACATCAATCGGTTTGTGAGCTTAATCAAAAAATTACTCACTAGTTAACTGAACATTATCAAGACAATAAACCAAATAAAATCAATCTAATCTACTTGTTATATGTTACGTGTGTAAAAGTTCAAGATAAAGAGTGCTATGAATCTTACTATTCCTTACTCCTGTTATCTCTCATCGAGAAGCATAGACCACCCATTAAGATTCTTCATCGAACTATGTTATGAGAAATCTTTTCAAGTTGTTACCATTATTCTATTCATTCTTTAAATATTTGCTTCCAATTCCCGATGTAATGTATTCCTTGGTTTTCCTCTCTTTTTTTGTCTTGATATCTCTACAGGGATCTGCATGTACAGCATTGGTTGTTGCAGTGGTTGCACGTAAGCTAGAATTAACAAGAGCTGAGAAACATGTACACAATTTTATGCAAGATAATAAATTCTACAAAAATGTACGTTCATAAGTATAGGTATACATCGTTGGATTGATTGTTTATATTATTATTTGTACAGTTTATGTATTCCGCTTCAAGTTTAAATGTGTTGTATATAACGATGAATGATACTACTCTGTCAGCCAGATAGTAGTATGTGTTAACGATGTTAAAGTGTTAGATAAACGAATTGAAAGTGAAATGAATTAACTACTTATCCATAGTAACACTTTCTTCCACAATCATAGATTAACTCATTTCTTTGACTATTTGAGTAGACAATTGTTGAAATTGATTGCTTATATCATTAAATGTGTCATCCGAGTATGGAGGTTCTCAGCTGTGTTTTAAATATGAACCCACAGTATCAAAATGTAATCCCTAGAAAGATCGTGATCGCCTAAAAAAGACCTGTACTATAACAAAATAGCTATCGATTTCTCATTCCTTTCTAAAGGTATTCCAAATGAGAGTAATTAATAACGGATTTTCTTACAATTCAGTGATCAATAAGTATGAATGCTTAAGTAAGTGGATTTCAAAATATTAGTAATATATAGATATCAATTACTAGATTTGAACTTCACAGATGACCTAGCTTTTCTATCCCATACACATCAACCAATGCAGATGAAGACAACTAGTGTAGCAACAGCCTCTATATTAGTAGGCCTAAGTATACGCAAGGGAAAAAGCAAGATCCTCAAATGCAACACCAAGAACACCAATCCAATCACAGTTGATGGAGAAACTTTGGAAGATCTAGAAACTTTCACGCACCTGGACGGAATAATCGACGAATAAGGGAGATCTGATGCAGATGTGAAGGCAAGGATTGACAAAGCTAGGGCCACCTTCCTACAATTGAAGAACATATGGAACTCAAAATAACGGTCAACCAGTACCAAAGTCGGAGCTTTCAATACGAAAGTCAAGACAGTTCTACTGTAAGGAGTTGAAACGCGAAGAACTACCGCAATCATCATCAAACATGTACAAGTATTTATAAACAATTTTCTACAGAAGATACTCAATGTTCATTAGTCAGATACCATCAGCGACAACCTACTGTGGTAGAGGACAAACGAGCTTCCAGCTGAAGGAAAAATTAGGAAAAGAATTTGGAAGTGGATAGAACATACATTTCGGAAATCACCAAACTGCATCACGAGGCAAGCGCTAATTTGGAATCCAGAAGGGAAATGGAAAAAAGGAAAGCTGAAGAACACACTGCGCTGAGAATTGAAAGCGGATATGAAAAGGATGAGTAGTAACTAGAAAGGATTGTCCAAGACAGTGTTGGATGGAGAATACTTGTGGTCAGCCTGGACGAGGGGTAACAGTAAGTAAGTAAGTATGTAGATTGGTTACTATGTAGCGATCAGATGATGTAAAACTAAAAAGATTCCTTCATGAATCCATCATCTTTTTTCAAAACAATAAGTGAATACTTTTAAAACTTTCCTTTTTTTTTCTCCTAATATCTACCCCCTTTGTTTTATTATTTATTACAATTATTAATTATTTATGACTGAAATCATGAGTCAATTGAAGCTAGACCACCATGGAAAACCTAGAAGCACTGGACGGCCGTCCAAGTTTTCCATGATGGTCTACCTTCATTTGACTCATGATTTCAATCAAAAACTTAACAATCTCCACAACCCCTAAACCGATATTAATTTTTTAATTAGCTTCGACATTCAGCTGCTAATGTTTTACGTGAAACTTGGCTATTTTACAAATATACAAGACTTGTCAAACGTGTTAAACCAGGTCGAGTAAGAAGGCATCAAAGAAAATTTTTAACAGCAATAAGTAGGTAAGTTATTAAAAACTAAATAAAAAAAAACAACAACCAATAAACAGTTTATCTATTGATTATCTTAAAATGCTGTGATATATACTACTGATATTGACTGATATAAGTAGTATATATCATTAATCGAAAGTGTAAACGTCTATTGGTAGAAGATGAAGAAGATCAAAGAAAAGAGAATGAGAACAGTGAATGAATGGTGTGGAAACAAAAAAACAACGAAATCTGACATGATTGATTGACGTTTCACAAATGAAGTATTTACCGTATGATTCTCAGATTTTACTAAGTTGTTCTGTAAGGTTGGGTCCAAATACATTTAGTTGCCCTCAAATTGCGTTCTTGTTCTCTGACATAAAACAATTGCTCGGAATCATGTTAGAAATTATGTGGAAGATAAACTCTGTTGGCTAATCATCCCATAAGATTAGACCTGTGTTATAACTTGTGACCGCCGATTCGGGAGCAGTGAATTATCGATCGGACCAAGGACGCGTAAAACACGTGCGAGCAGCCTAGAGTCCTGATTGGTCCTGCTTTCCGCCTAGCCCAGTCAGTTAAGTCCAGAACACCAGTCTCAGCATATGCAATATGAATCATTATATTTCATACATACTGAGTTTATACACCAATCAAACAGACCACAATCTAGCATAAAACAGAAAATAACATTTTGTACAAAATTTGGCCAAATGTGGCTATGAATATGGGAGGCAGTGACTAACAGACAGGGCATAATTCAAGAATGGTAAAACGTATTATAATGGTTCATAGGTTAAAATGAAGCTTATAATAAGAGGAATATGAATATGAATAGTTTAGTTATTTCACCATTATACGATAAAAATATACGTTTAGTATTGGTCCATAAATGGATCCCAAAGTTACCATTCATTATGCTTTTCGGGACATAACAACCTGTTCATAGATTAGTTACTTTTATGAAGTACAATGAATTTCAAACATGATAGTTCAATCGATTTGTGATCACAATTGATAACGTTTTGTATAATTTCCACTTGTTGTGATAATTGAGATTACGTTCCAGTTATGTTCTGTTGATATATATGTGCATCTTGAATGAATGTCTAAAGACTGTCTACAGTTACAAGTTTGATTAAATTTTTGAAATATAGCTAGCAGTGGAATCCAGACCCCCGTATTTCGTCTTACGTAGGTCTCGTCAGTTATATATACCTATATCCTAGTATTATTGGTTACAATAAAACTTAAACCGGGGAACTATCTACACAATCTACAACTCTCTGTCCATTTGGCTGACGGGTAGCGTTAACTATAAGATTGTATTTTAATTCAATCAAGCAATGTCAACCACGTGATGGACTTGTCATTCTCCAACCAACTACCAAGTTCTATTTGAAAGAAAAGTAGTGTTTAAGAATAACTCTATTTTTTCTACATCAGAAGCTTAGTCATTTAAATTGTTAGTTATGAACACAACTAATATTATGACTTTTGCCCTGTTAATTATTACATGACAAGATTGTCAATCAGATTACCGACTTATAAGACCCTGGCACTGTACCAAACTAATGATGCTTTAACTAGTACGAGCAATCCGGAATCAACTCCCAGTTCTTATTAGTCCTTCTCGCATAGACTTGTTTGTTGAGTCCAGAAAGCAATCCCAGCCTCCACTGTATTTCAGACATACACGGTTTATACCATATACAAGCAAACCGAACCCAACACACCATGAAACAATAAAACAATTATACTAGATCAAGCCAAAAGCAGATGTGAGTATAGGAGGCTGTAACTAATGCGTTGGGAATAACTTAAGAATAGTAAATCGTATAATAATAGTTAACAGGTCAAATGAAAGCTTATAATACAAGGAATGTGAATATACATATAATATAGTTACGCAATAGTTATCCAATAAGAATATTTATATGTAATAACAGTCTATAAATACTTCCAGGAAGTTACCCATAACTTAACCTACGGATATAACAACTAAACTAACAAGAAATTCATTCAATACTGAAGGCTCATTATGGAGATAACTCATTAAAGAAAACTGTTACTTTCAAATGTATCAAACAGTTTAGAGACATTCATGAAAACCACAAAGATCATAAACGTTTAAGACAACCGTTCAGCTTCAATTTTGACTAAAAAGTCTCTTATACTTTGTATCTGTTTAGTTATAACCCAACCTGTTACAATCCAACCCACTCTGTTCTGGGCCCTCCTTTCAAGTTCTATCCAATTGTTGTTTATTCTCCATTTCACGAAGTAATGTGTTCTTTGATCATCCTTTTTTCGTTTGGCCTTGAGGATTTCAATGGGGAGCTTGCTTTGTGGCACAGCTGAATGCTTTCCCCAATTTATGTCATGTCCGCTTCCAGAGCTTCTTCCGAATTTCTTCCTCCGCTAGGATCTGGTTTGTTCTCTCTCACAGTAGGTTGTGGCTGGTAGTGTCTGACCAATGGATCCAAAGTATTTTGTGTAGACAGCTGTTAATAAACACTGGTATCTTTTGGATGATGGCTTTCGTAGTTCTCCAAGTTTCCACTCCATACAGTAGAACTGTCTTGACATTTGTATTGAAATTGTGACTTTGATGTTGGTTGACAGTTGTTTTGATTTCCAGACGTTCTTCAGTTGTAGATATGCTGCTCTTGCTTTGCCGATTCGCACCTTCACATCTGTATCAGATCCACCGTGTTCATCAATGATGCTGCCCAGATATGTAAAGGTTTTACATCCTACAAATCTTCTCCGTCAAGTGTGGTTCGATTGGTGCATGCTGGAGCCTGCAGCCCCTCTAGGGCTACTGCCAGTCCCAAACGAGATAAAGGAGAAAGGTTGGGTGCGGTTAGCGATCCCATCCCGTAGAAAAGTAACTCGCTGAAAAAACGCTAACCAGATGATAGCATAGCCCCAACCTTACTTTTTCAATCATAGTTTTATACATTAGTATAAACATGTTCAACTTAATGTCTTGACTAACTATTGGACTATTTATTTCAGATTATTGTTTATCAAATACATTTACTGTAAACTTTATAATTTATTTAAATAGATTAAGAAAAGCAAAGGATAATCAACGTAAACTGAAAGAAGATGCTAATTCTATGGTGGATTTAGCTAAAGTAAGCAAATGTTCACTTATGATGATCATCAATTGTGGTGAGATTATAATATTTATGGATGACCTTTGAGCGACTCTAAAGTGACCTTGAGAGTGTCTACCTACTTAGGTAGGCTAGGTAAAGGTCATAAAGCAGTTTGAAAAATAAGGATTATGATTTACAGTTGATGGTTAAGGGTTAGGAATTAGATTTGGGGTTTTCATCACGAATTGATATCAGCTATAATGCTAAAAAGCTATTTAGGCAAATGGATGAGTGAATTTCGCACCGAAATTCGAATCCTGTTATCTTATACCTGAATGGTTCGTTTATAAATTATAGTCTCACTATGATTGTTTGTTATTCATTTATTTTCAATTTGTTGTCCATACACATAAGCTTGATTTGAAACATTTTTACAAATGTGATAAAACATTTCAACATAAACTACATTATATAGGCACTGTTTACAAAGCAGCCTTATAGGGAGTTAGCAGAGGCTAGAATGTCTTAGTTGCAGCATATCAGTCCCCTCAAGATTATAGATACCCCGTATTAGCGAGTAACGACTAGTTAAGAACCTGAGTCTCAAGGTTTTTCTATTGACTACTTCCAACCACCTAGCTCCAAATCATATTCCATATGATATGGATTTATTCTAACTAGTAAGCTAAATTGCAACTTATACAATAACTGCATTGAACTTAACATAAGTGTTTTAATTATTTCATCCATTAGTTAATAAACTATCACAACAGAAATAGTTGTTGAAATTCTTTCAATTATACAATCTATCCGTTGATTTATAGTACTAGTATCGTCTGATTTCTACTCATTTAAGATGCGAGAAGTTGGTTCCAGAAGAAAAGTATCAGTTCAATCACTTGAATTGTCGCAGTAATTTTAATGAAATCAATTGTACCGTTAGAACAAAGTAAAGTTTCATCAATAGTGAAGAAACGTGATCAGCAGAAAAATTTTCAATCACCCATATCTATGTATGTTATGAACGGTAGCAAACAGAAAATACATTATCAAAATGGGTATTTGTATAGATTATAGTAATTTTAATAGTTGAATCCATGAGTTCACCACTGAAAACGTGAAAGCGATGGACGGCCGTTTCGATCACTAATGACTAGTTCAAAGATGGAATTCCTGGAGTTCTAGTGAGAAACCGTGACCAGTGGAGTCCAATCCGTGTATGGTGGAGATAAATATCCACCTAAGACAATGGATGGATAGTTACTCAAGATCATGGATCGATTGAAGTTAGACATTAACACCGTTGAAAGACGGCTCATTGGTTATATAGGTCAAGCGTTGATGCGAAAGTGAAGGTTCTGGGTTCGAGTCTCACGTACGGGATCGGTTTTCATAGGCAATCTAGCTTAGATCGACTCGAAAATTCAACTGTCAAAATAAAATACTTTGTTTTTTACTTTTCATAGTTTTCATCTATGTTATTCGCTATCCAATTGTTTTGTTGTTATTGTTTCTTTAATAACTTTTCTAGCTACAAACTAGCATATATGAAACTGTAAATCATATTCGAGCTGATCAAACAATTTTTGTTCAACGTTTGGTTGGCGTTGAAAAGTGCATGACATCAATTCAGGTAAACATTAATAATTCACTTGATATTGTTTTGCTTGTATTCTCCTACTGATGTTTAGGACTGCAATTGATCAGTCTCTTGTTGACATATGTGCATCTTGTACGAATTGCCTCGATATTGCCTTAAGTCACAAGTTTTACAAGTAAAAATGGATGGTGGCTAGTAGTGGAATTCAAAATGTACGTTTCGTCCTATTTGGGACACGTCAACTGGACGTAGCTGCATCCCAGAGTTGATATTCACTCCTGGACTCGAACCCAATACTGTTCGCTCTAGACACCATCGCGTTATCCACTTATCTACCATTTAGATGGTGGTTGGAGGTAGTCAACAGGAAACCCTGGACCCGGGTTTCGTGCTACTTGGCACTCGTCAGCAAGGTGTACCTGTAATCTTGAGGGAACTGGTGCTCCCTGGCGGATTCGATCTCGTGTCACCCAGCTTCACAGTCAGAGACGTTACCACTGAGCTATCGGAGCCGTGACTAACCTCCTGTAGGACTGAGATGTAATCACAATTGATTGATCACTGGGTGGTGATCAATCTCATGCTTGTCTAGTCCTTATAAGTGCAGATCGAATGCTATCGATCATGTTGCAATGTGGCCACCAGTCTAGGTGACTCAACACTGCGGGCACTATGTATTGAGATTGAGTTCCCTCAAGATTACAGGTACACCTTGCTGACGAGTGCCAAGTAGCACGAAACCCGGGTCCAGGGTTTCCTGTTGACTACCTCCAACCACCATCTAAATCTCAATACATAGTGCCCGCAGTGTTGAGTCACCTAGACTGGTGGCCACATTGCAACATGATCGATAGCATTCGATCTGCACTTATAAGGACTAGACAAGCATGAGATTGATCACCACCCAGTGATCAATCAATTGTGACTTATCTACCATGTCCTGATAATATTCAAAATTCTCAATTTCTCTTCTCATTAAACAGATTTTAATAATACGAAATTAAGAAGATTTATCAATAATATTTAGACTCTGATGTTCGATGTATGATTATAAAATTATTACTCTCAATGCATTAAACTTCAATAGGATTTGTACATGATGAATTCAGCGTTTTTATTGGTTGTAACAAGCTGTAAATACTCGATTCCTGTAAACCAATCAAAGCACCATGTAAAATTAAATCATGTTCTGATTGATTGATCGAATCGACATTAACACCATTGGATACCGACTCAGTGCTTTAAAGGTGAAGCGTTCGTGCGCGAGACCGATAGGTCCTGGGTTCGAATTCCGCGAGCGTGATCGTGGATACGCACTGTTGAAGAGTCCTGTAGTAGAACGAAAACAGCTGTTCAGTGCTTTCGGGTTTTCCATAGTGGTCTAGCTTTAATGGACTTATGAATTCAACTATTAAATTATTACCACAAAACCCCCTTTCTAAAAATGAAAATAGTGTATTCAACAATCGTGTTTATTAATATAAATATCTGAAAGCTTTGACCAGGTCATGGATGATGAATCTTATACAGGAACAAAATAACTGTCTGGTACTTGCTGGTTTTCAATGGTCATCTAAGTAAAGCCAGTCAATGAACTTAAACTATAACGTATCACATGTTAAAAGTTAAAGTATATTTATAAAAAAGAAGTCGTTACCAGTGGAGTTCAATCAGGTCTGTTGTGAGATAGGAACTCACTGAAGACAATGGTGTACGGTGGCGTAACTTCGTGAATTGGTTGAAGTTAGACATTAACACCGTTGGATGCCGGCTGAGTGGTCTAGTTGGTTAAGCACCTGGTGCGAGACTGATAGATTCTAGGTTCGAGTCTCGCGGGGTGCGGAATCGTGGATGCGCACTGCTGAGGAGTCCCATACTAGGACGAAAACAGCCGTTCAGTGCTTCCGAGTTTTCCATAGTGGTTTAGCTTCAATTGACTCATGATTTCAATCAGTGAAATTTCTAAAAATCTCCACAAAACTCATTCTGATAATTATAAAATATACTTGAGCATTCAAAACACAATTCATACCTCATTAGACAACCTTGACAGTTATCTAAATATGATGCTACATGAAACTCAAAACACTGATGAAGATTGACTATCTTCATGAAACTACGTGTTTTTATTGAATGAGAGAAAGTGATTTTTCATGAGAAACACGTTACTATGACAATTAGAATATACCATCCAACAATTCTCTACATTAATCAATTGATCGTATGACACAACAGATCCATTAAAACCTTTTAAACTACTGATCCTTGCTGTCTAACGTTAATCGATATCACTTACTCGATTTGCGAACCTGAATTCCGATTATAATTTTTCTACACTTTAGTTTTGACCAATGATATGATTCAACCGACATGTTTAACCTTTAGCTAACGTAACCTCAGCCTCAGATAGCCTACCGATACATAAACCTTTCTCATATCCCCAGCCTTGAGTTCGTAAGGTGAAGAGAGTAGTCAAACTTTTATATATATTATCATCTCAAATATACATGTGTTGATGTATAGGCATACTGGACCATATCACACCATAAAATAGAGAATCATCGTTATACAAAAACCGGCGAAAAGTGGCAATGGAATTGGATAAGCTATAACTAACTGAATCGTAATAAATTAGGATTATTAAGGTGAATAGTAATCGTCAGTGTATCAACTAGAAGAATACAATAAATGTAATATAAAAACGGTTGTCCAGTTGTTTAACATTTAGACAATAAGAATATACCTAATGATAGTTTCAAGAGTTACCATTCGTTCAGTCTTCGTTCTGTTACATCAGTTTTCACTTGTTTTCTTTTAAACTTTTCTATTGAAACTCAGAAATCTACCAATCTAGTAGATGTGGTGACATCAAGAATATGTTGGATTAAGAATTCGAAATAATATAAACGTTCCAAATAACAACTAAACCAATTCATCAGTTTGGAGATTAAACACTTGTCACGAAAACTGAAAATCCTGAGTTCGATCCCCAGTGGGCTCGTGAGTGTGTACTCTTAAAGATTCTCATAGTAGATGCTGTGACGGGCGGTGTCTGAAATGTGATACTGATACACGATGTGCTACACACTAACCCCCCAACAGACCACATGAGCGAGAACACAGGAATGAAGAAGAGATTATATTGGGCTACCGAATAAAACGCACAAATACTCATATATATATATATATATACCACTCTACCCCTTAGGAAAATAATCCATGTCTTTGTCAACTGCCAAATTGAAATTCACTTGTCTCTTCGGTCACTTTTGATTGCCATCGCTTGAACTTCTCATTAAGCTACTGCTGATTGGTTTGCCATATCGCTAGAATAAGACCCATATCCAGTGTATGCTGGTTTTTAGTGGTTATCTAAGGCCATCTCAGTAATCAATTAATTGTAAACACATATCAGTCCTATGGTGACGTCAATCCCTGCTTGAATAGTTCAGTGGTAACGTCTCTCGCTGTGAAGCGAAGTAACACGGAATCAAATCCCTCAGCGACCGTCAGTTTGTTTAGGTTGACCCCAGTACACCTTACTGACGAGTGTAATAGCCCGAAACAGGTAAGGAGCTTCCTGTATATTACCTTCACCTCACATCACAACATAGTCAATGGGATGTAAAGTCACAGACTAGTAGTTACATTGCAATTTGATCGATAAAATTCTTCACTGAAACATTTTTATTCTTTTTAAATGAATTAATCGTATTCAATATTGGGTTTTGTGAATATTGTAGTATTTTCACGGTTGGATTCATGAGTCGAATTCAGCTAGACCATCAGTGAAATTTTGGAAGTACTGGACAGCTGTTTCTTCCTAGTATGAATGGACTCCTAGGTAGTACACATCCACATGAGACTCGAACCTAGAACTTTCAATCTAGAGTGTGAACTCTTGACTAATATGACCACTAAGTCGGTATCCAACTGTGTTAATGTTTAACTTTAGTTGATTAAAATGCTTCTAGGTTTTCAATGGTGGTCTAGTTTAGATCAACTCATGAATTTGATTGTAAAAATTAATCCATTTATATAATCCAGTAACATATCGAACGAAATATACTTTTGTGGCACGTTATCTAATTCTAATTACTCCAGTTTGATCGTTTCTGATAGTTATCGAGATATACATGTTGCCAATCCTCGTATAGAATTATCGACTTAGATCGCGTTACAGTATAACGGAATTAAAATAAGTCAAATAAGAGAATGAATTTCGAATACGTATATTTTGTACAATCGTTGATCGGAACAAACAATCAGAAAGACGACAACATCAAAAAAACGACTTGACAAATTCACTTGATCAGCAGTTTGTGAAGAAGAAATACAAAAGATAATTGGTAATCACAAAGCCCACCAAGCGACATTATGTAAGCTTTCAATTTGGCGTAGTCACCTAACCTAATATAAATAGGCATATTGTTCACCAGGAAGGTTGGCCTGTGAGAACACTTTGTGGCGCACATTAAAGACATCTTGAGCATTCGGACGCTTTCCCTAAGATTGGTAAGCGAAGTGCAGAATATTGAATGCTACTGTCCAAGAAATCAGAAGTGGTCACACTATCTCAAAGACACCCTTCGTTAACTTGCGCATCCATTAATTACTATCGTACCTCAGGGAATTGCACGCATGATTGTGATTCACATTCTCACGAACAACAGTTCAATAACCTTCAATAAACCTACAAAGAGTGAATGCCGAGCATTGAGTTTTCATTGAAGTCCTTTATGAAAAAATATAATAACACCAGTCAAATTACCTCCTTCGTCTAATCGGCTGTGAGGAATCGCTAGGTATTCTACAACCATTTCTCCAACATACAAATTTTATATACGGCTTCTGATCACGATGGAAATGAAAATCTCTCACCGCATAATGACAGTACATAGCTCTTTCATAAGTTCTGATGATGCTCTTTAACGCTTCAAGTGATTGGAACGCTACCAGATACAATGTAATTCAAGAATACGTTATCTGTTTCTGTGACAACGTGAGAAACTGTAAAGCTTGTATTTTGTACGTTACTATCGTCCATAATTTGAAGAAAACGGAGCTCTGTCGATAAGTATTGACATTCTATATCAATTTTAACAAATAAACAACTAATAATAACGAATTTAAAACTAGCCATTTCATTGAACGAAACGGAAAGAAAAATATTGGAAAATAGGAAGAAAAAAATCAATTTAAAAAAGTACAAAAATGGCCGTGCGTTTAATGATATTCGTCAAGGTAACCGACACTACAAGTTGCCAATCCTCGTATAAAATTATCGACTTAACTTGCGTTGGTAAATAACAGGATTAAATAAGTCAAATACGAGAATGGATGTTTTGAATATGTATATTTTGTACACTCATTGATCTGAACAGATAATCAGAGGGACGAATTGAAGAGAAGAGAGCGAAGTGAAAATAACATCCAGTGGAGGTGTATGAGCCAACCCCATTTAATCAAGCGGTTAATCAATATTTATAGTCATACGAAAACAAGTTACAGACATGTAATGAATAAGATAAGAAGGGCACACACACACTTATGCTCATATAAAAACAGTCAAGGTTGATAAGTGAATAATTAACAAGGCAGTATCGTGGATGCGCACTACAGAGGAGTCCCACAATAAAATAAAACGGCCGTCCAATGTTTCCAGATTTCCCATAATGATCTAGTTTCAATTGACCCATGATCTCAACCATTGAACTGACTATAATATCCACAAAAACCCCTTCTGAGAATAATTAAAAGGTTAAAACATAAGTCAAGTAGAATGAATCAATTAGCTTGTCTAAAGGTTATAATAAACTTAACATAGTAACTAACACTATAGATACAACTTTATTTTTAAATTTTGATTGAGATCACAAACCGATTGATGTTAGACCACCTTTGGAAACCTGAAATCACTGGACGGCCGTTTCGTCCTATTGTGAAACTCCTCAGCAGTGCGCGTCCACAATCCCGCTCACGGGATTCGAACCCCGGGCCACCGGTCTCGCGCGCGAACGCTTAAATATTTTTCAGGGTAATATTTAAACTTTAAAAAATAACAAAATATTAATCGATTTTCTTCTTTTTTTTAAATTTTTCTTTTATATTATCAATATATATATATAATGGAAATCAATTAGTCTTATGTAAATCAAATGTCGGATACATTCACAGGAATAATTGAAACCCTTGAAACATGTAATACTACAACTGTACCATTAGATGATGAAACAATATCATCTTAACAATATATATACATATATACAAGATTATCATTTATTGCCTAGACAATTTGTACATACATAGTAACTATTAGATCTTAAAAGTAAACAATGATGAAAGATGCTAAATAATCAATCAATTGTCTTTTGAATAGTAATAATAACCATATAGACTTTTGTTATTCAATCCTACTTATCTGCCTATTTTGATTTGTATCCTTCCCTATATACATAAAAAAACAATGTATCACCCCCTCCACACACCCAAATACACACCTCCTCTACCCACCCACCTATTTTTTATAATATATAATAATTTATCATTCAATTTCTCAACTTAGCACCTTTCTCTCTCTCTCTCTCTGTCTCTTCTCGAATCATTCATTCATTGTCCTTAAAGAAAAGAAAATGAGATTAACAAAGAAGAAGTAGTAACAGTAGTAGTAATACTAGTAATAGTATCCTATTCTTTTATCTACTAATTCATAATTATATTGTACTGTATAACAACTTGAACTAATGCATATATATGCCTGGTCCTAAGTTGTACCTGACTGACTGTCTGAATGACTGACTGTCTGAGTGATATACTTTCACATTCACTAATGAATAAATCTTTATTATGTATTTAATAAATCATTCAATGTTTCAATATTAAACTTGTTTACATTATTCAATCAAATACATTTTTTTTACTTTATAGTAGAACAAAATGGGATACTTACCTTCTTTCTTTTCTTTACCCTTAACTTTGTTTAAATTCAACAACAACAACACCAACAACAATAACAACAACAACAAATAAATCAGTATCATTTTGAAATGATAATCTTTTTGAGAAATATTGTTTTCTTTTTTTTTTCTTTCTGCTTCTTGTGTGTATACACGAAAACAAAGTAGATAAAAGAATAAACAACTAGATACTAAAACAAACAAACAAAAAAACTTCCAAGAGTACACTCTCCCCCTAGAAACAGGAAAAGAAAAAGCATATCACATGATACTTAAGAGTAATTTGATCAATTTTATTTTATCATAGGACTCTCTATGGGATTGCATCTAGGATTGAACCTAAGAGTTCAACCATGTTGGAAGTGAGATAGTATTAGTTATTAGTGTTAAACATTAGTCGTTCTAAATCATAAATGAATTGAATTTGGAGTGTAAACTCAGTTTCCAGGATGGTTACATGCTAACTACAACAAGATTTCAAAGATTGAGGTGTGGTCCTTGAGTTTGTAAAGAAGCATTTCTATGGAATAACATATTATGATGAAACAATTCTCAGTACTCTTTGGTTTTCAGTAGTGTTACACATCAAATGAAGTTAATGTGACAAATATCATCCACATGCTCCATGTTTGTTACAATATATAAGATCTGTATCACTAAAGCTTCTGCAACGCAAAAGTAAATTTAGTGGTGAATCTCTCAACATATCTGACTGAATCTCGACATATAAAAAGATGAATCTAAGGCTATTGTAGACTAAGTGACATAATCATTATACGCTATTCTTCGTCAATTCATGGTGAAACATAACATTCTACGCAGTAAAGCAGTTAAGACGAACAATCTAAGTATTTAGCCTCAAAGAAGTAGATGACCTGGCTTATACATACAAAATTGATCGGTTGATATAACTGATTTTTCATCTAGATGTGCATAAAAGGGGAACTATGATAAGTTACACGACGATTTGGTGCGTAGAAAGCCTTTCTAATCGACCTTCCAAGATCACTTTAATTGCATTACTAATAATATCTACTTTAAACATAAGACACATAAGAGAATTTCAATTTATGAAATACATATATATACGGATGTAAAGCTTTGAAAATGAATGTTTTAGGTGTCATTGAAGAAAACATACAGTAATGATGAATAATTCGCAGCACAGATAGATACTTTTACTGTTGATATGTTCTCTGAGCTAAACCGTTTAATCACAGATCGTATATTGACTCTATGGACAAAATCTTATGAGCACCTAATTTACATAGAAGTGATCTTAATTCTTCACTTTTACACACGAAGTAGAACAGCTGAGATAATGCACAGAACTAAAAATGAATATTCGCAATTAAAAGCATCCAGTTGGATGAACACACCCTTAGATTTCATTGGACACAACTCATTAATGAAAGAAAATGTGGTTCAATGAACAGACACATCAAGCACGGTTTACGTTCTGTATAATATCTTCAGTTGCTGAATTATGTAAATCGGTGACAAAAGAAACGTCAAGCCTGTTGGGAAAAGATGATTAACTTAAATTTTGACATAACTCTATTCATATTCATTTGTAATGAGTTCCAGTTTCGGAGTAAACATAAACTCTGGGATGCATGTATATCCATCTGACGGGTCCCAAATAGGACAAAACGCATGCCCTAAAATCCACTACTAGCCATCATCCATCTCTGCTTATCAGTAATCGAACACAGATAAATGACATACGCGAGTTTAAATCACATTTATAGAAATACTACTTATCTGACCTAAACTAAGTAGATGGAGATAGCAATTTGAACCTGTAACAGAATGTTAAAGTAGATTGTTGTTTTCATACTGAAGCACAACTGTATCAATCATTATCAATACAGAGCCTGGGACAGATCTAAGTTGCCATAACATAGGTAAGTCTATAATTTTACTAACAAAATGTAAAGAATACACTTAGAGTACGACTACTCGTGATAAGTCGAACTAAACTCCGTTGAAGAGGTAAACACAGAAAAGATAGATAATATGTAAACATATATTACAAAGAAATGCAGATTACACTTGTATTATACATGTTAATAGCCCTTCACACACACACAGTGCGTGGATTGAAAGCGAGTAAGTAAAATACATGTAGGATGGGTAAAAAAAAGAATTTTATTAATAAATATATGCTCTTCCTAAGCACATTTTTTATCCACACATCCTTTGCCTAATTCATTATACTCTTGACTAGATATCCACATTTGTTGGAATGTACCCTGTAAAATCGAAAAAACAAATTAAATATTCATTCAACGGCTATGAAACGTGGCTTTTAAAAATAGGGGATATTTGGAAGTTATTAGTATTCAATCATAGATGCTCTCAAACGACTATTCGTATATTTTGGAACCATCGAGTTAACAGTCCTGAAATTAGACCCACAGTACTAGATAAATATGGAAAATCGACTGAAGAAGTAGTGAATATTTATCGACTGAAATGGTTGGGACATGTATTACATGTGCCAATCAATCGATCACCTACATCGACACATGACGTTATCTGGTGTAGAAGTAGGTTGGAAGAATGTTAGAGGATGACAAACCAAGATATGACACCATTTCATGAAGGTACTAACTATTGGACTCAGCCATATAGATGGGTCTGTGCAGATTACGTCGTTGAAGTTTGTATGATTATCGTAACCAATGGTTGGAGACTTTGGGTCACATAGTTCAGAATTGTTCACAATGAAGCAGGTGCATTCACTTCTTTTATTCCTTTATATTCAAAGTTCTTAAATTCATCATAACTTTTTCTACTATTTCACTAATTTATATTTGCTTCTCAAATGGCATTTTCGACCCCGAATCTTTTCTCTTAGCACTAATACTGTTACTACCTCTACTGTTCTGGGATTTTTTTACTTGATAATTTCATCACTCTGTGCTAATGAGATAGAGAAACTGGAACCAATGTACATATGTGTCAGGTTCTACGTTGCGTATAACTGGCTGACTTTAGTGTGATAAGAAGTATCACAAACAGAAAAAACATGAGGACGAAATTTTCTATAGTTTTTTGTCATGTAATCAAGGGGTTATTGAAGGTCACCTTAGTAAGGAACACCGAATTGGCGTGAAATCACTAGTTTAATGAATTCATATTTCCGATTTGAGTTAATTAGTGACAGTCCGACAACCATCCTATCTGATTGGTGTATAACTACTGACAAATTTTCTACACAGTTAAACTCCATTAAATCCGAATTGATTTAAATTGGAATATGGACCCAATTGGTTTTCAACTAAGTGATCTAAAGATGAATAGTTCATCGAGAAGCCTAAAATGTCCTGGATTCAATGTGAGGTGCATATCATAAGTATACACTAACTAGAATTCATAATTAACCCATGACTTTTTCATGATAATCAAGTTAACAGATTGAAATCATGATTCAATTAAAGCTAGACCACCACGGTAAACCTGTGAGCACTGGATGGCCGTCTCGTCCTAGTATGGGACTCCTCAGCAGTGTGCACTCACGACCCCGCACCCCGCGAGACTTGAGCCCAGGACCTACCAGTCTCGCGCCATGCGCTTAACCAACTAGACCACTGGGCCGGCACCCGACGCTGTTAATGTCTAACTTCAACCAATCCAAGCTTCAATTGCCTCATGATTTCAATCTGTGAAATTTCCAAAATCTCCACAAATCCCCTCTGATAATTAAGTTAACCCTCCATAAATCTCTACATCAAACAACTTTGAAATCCATTCACTATTTAACAGCATTTAATATAAGAACTAACAATACTGATGATGCTTATAATAGACATATAATACAATTCAGTCAGAATAAAATGCTATACATAAAAGATATAAATCTAATAGAATATACATGTCATTTTACTTACTAAAGATCCTAGAATAGAACCACCAATCCAACTGGAATAACGACGTTCAGCTGTTGTACTAGGAAAGTTAACTTTTAATCTCATACTCTAAATTATGTAATAATAATAATATTATTATTCTATAAATAAATACAAACATACCGGTGGTGTTTTAATATTTAAATCTCGTTGTAATCTATCAGTAAATCCAGTGATTAAGCTGTTACCACCAACAACTATGATATTACTATACAAACTCTAAAAATGATAATATAAGGAAAGAAAGAAAAAAACGATTCATCAATATAACTTATATATATAGTGAATACAGATGGGTACTGTTATATCCCGATGAGAATAATGAATAGTAACTATTGGGATCTATTTCTGGACTAACACTAAACGTATAACTATTCATATTCATGTTCTTCTTATTAAAAGCTTTATTTTGACCCATAGACGATTATTATACGATTTAACATTCTTGAATTATACCCAGTCTATCAATTACTACCTTCCACATTCACAGCCTCTTTTGGTTAGATCTTGTACAAATGTTGTTTTCTATTTTATGGTACGATGTACGATGTATTTATAAATACAGTTGTATCTGCCAAAGCAGCTACATCGGCCGAACTGAAAGGAGAGCATATCTTAGATTTTTTGAACATGTTCCAAAAAGTCTTAGAACAAGGGAAAGAAATACTCTGAATAGTGCAATCACTAAACATTTCCTTGATATAGGACATCAGGTAGATACCTTATAATCCTTTAGGGTGATTAGTAAGCAGACAAACTCCAGTCTTCTGAAGTTTGCTGAAGCCGTTGCCATCAGGCGTCAAAAACCTGACCTATGTATTCAAAAGGCGACGTTTGTTAATCTTTCCTTGCCTTGGTGACAAATATTCTTTCGCTGCATCTTAAAAATTTTTTTTCCTTTTTTTCTTTTGTATTTATTACATCATTGACTTTATTTTATTTTTTCAACTATCTTTCAAATTAATAATCTTTCAACTAAACTCTACTCACTATATTCTTATCAATGTTTATTCATTATGTAATCAATACCGTATCAGAAGTAGTTACTTCAATGGTAGTGATATATAAAAGAAAGAATTAGTTCGTGGAGAGAAAGGTATAAAACAACTTTAAGTTCATGGTTTAAGGGTATACAAAGAGTGTATAAACCTATAACATTGTGATCGATTATGAGCCATATCATCTAGAGTCTCCAACTACTGGTTACAGTGGTCATGTGAACCCCAACCAAGTAGTCTGCATCTACCAGCATGACGCAGAAAACAAGTTAGTGACTTTATGGACTAATGCCACGTTTTGGTTTGGCCGCCCCTATTATTACTATAAAATAAAATTCTGTAAACATAAAAACGTATTGAACTGATGGTTATTACAATCAAAGAGACAGAATTCACCAAATCAAGAGAATAAGTTCATTGAATATTTCTTCAATAGTACAATATAGTAATCAATGAAAGGGATATAAATTGCAAAAACAAACAATCATGTCTTTATTTATCATTTCACAGGTTTAAAATTCAACTGCTCAATGTAATTCAACATGAGAAACTGTGCAATATCATCAGTTCTATGATACACAAAACAAGTGACTCAAACCTGAATACATGTTGAATTGATGATTGGCACAAAACAACTGTTCAATTGTCGCTCGCCCTCTGTGTTTTTTTATGGTTTGTTGGTGAGATTATAATTTATGGACGACCTTTGAGTAACACCAGACTGTCCTTGAGAGTGTACACCTAATAACCAGGACCAAATGAGGGCTATAAACCTGTGTGTGGGATTAGGATTATGATTTACAGTTGATGATTAAGATTAGGTATAAGGTTTAGGGTTTTCATCACTAACCGGCATCAGCCATAATGCCAAAACTCTATTTATTCAAATGAATGGGTGAATTTCGCGCCGAAATCCGAGACCTGTTATCTTATACGAGATTGGTTCGTCCATAAATTATAGTCTCGCCCGTTTATTTTCAAATGATGTTAGTAATAGTGCAGTGAATGAAGACTTGGTGGGGATAACCAACTTATTATTTAATGCAAAATTACATGGTGGTTAAGTAAAATGTAGAAATCATACACTAGGTACATCATTTGCATATCTTTAAATTGTTTCTTACGAACTACATTGTTTATTCATTCCTGTTGTAATCTTGATTGCTTTCAGTGTTCCTTCCTCCTCTCTCCACTTCAGTCTTCTAAATCTTATGTTGGTGACCTTTCCACTTCCAATCGGAGCTGGAAGATGTGTAAATGATGTATGTAATGTATGGTTTTCATACTTTACGAAGACACTGTAATTTTGCATTAAACAATAAATCGGTTATCTACACCAAGTCTTCGTTCACTACATTTGGTGTCACTGCCAAACAGGCGAAGAGGATGAAGTGATGCGAACGCCATTGCGAGGCCGTGAGAGGAGGCGCTATTTGTGGCAGTCTGGTGCAGGAAGGTGACGTTGAGTGTAGTGTTCTGGAGGAGCGGAATTGGTTGCAGCAGTCGCAGTCGATGGGGAGCAAAGGTGGGATCTCTGATCGCTAGGCGAATATGGGATGTAGATGACTCGGCAATTCGACAGAGCTACAGAGGTCAGCGCGCCAGTGGACTCGACATTTCGATGGGGATGGAACAAACTGCGGTAAAGGAAGTGGCACGGTGAGCAGAAAACTCTCATTTCAAACAAATGGTGAACATGGGCTCCAGGATCCTAAGGAAACAAATGGTGTATGAATCTATTGTTGGTCACCGGCTACCATGGGACTACATCTCCTGAAGTTGCTCCACTGCATGGTGGATTAGATCCTTAGGTTGAAGGCTCCGGGTGTGACCCCTAAGAAAACCACTTGCTTCGGTTCCAGCACCCGGACAGTATCCCAGCCCTTACATAAATCTAATCATTTATGTGGCACATATCTGTTTGGTGCCTCCTTGTACCATTGTTTATGTGTTAAAATAAATAAATAATCATGGTAAAATTACACTCTACTGACAGCGTTGAAGCAAATGAAATCGATCAGTCGGAATAAAGATAAAGATTGTTGAGTTTATGCATGATTTTTAAAACGAGATTACGGATAGCCTGCTATTGGATATCATACTTTTAAGAAGAATTCTCATTTTAACTTATAGGGTTAATGATATGATGGTAGATCGGTGGAAGTAAAGTATCTGAATGACGTTGAATTACTTTCTAGCCAACGAGAAAACAACATTTGGTTATGACAAATTTTCTCATTGAACGCTTGATTCAGTTTCCTAAGCTCTTCTAGCAACTCCCAGGTCAAATCTGCATGACAACTTGAACATAAGAGAATAGGCGCGAAATATAGAGAGAACATTTTACACCAAGGTTCGTTCATGTACAGAAAGTCTAGGGTATTTATAGCATTTCAGATGGCCTTGGGCCTCTGGAAAGTTCTGGAACCCTTTTTTAACATAATAGCAGGATAGGTAATTATCCAGTCAGAAATATGATATGTGACTTTTAACTTAATAGATGTTTCTGAGAAACTTCTATTGAATGCTAATTGGATAAGATGTTGCTCAGTGTTTTCATGGCCGCTTTTGGCCTTTTTCGAGGAATTTTCTGGGTCTCTCCAACAATTCCCTTTATTTCCGTTCATTTTTCTCACATATCTTAAGGATTACCGTTTGCCAAACACACGTGTTCACATATACATTGACTTTGTTGGCTGCCATTTTGTAACTGTTTACTAACAAGCCTGTTGAACACGTTTTAGTTCACTTCATACAGCATATTCCCTGTCAATTACACATGAACACCTTGAATCTATATCTGACATTATCTTGAATTACTTTACCTACATTATTATAATTATAGATATCTATTTGGATCTGTGAACATGCATCATTCTAATAATAACAAGTAACGTATATGTTTCTGTATATATTTGTTTTTGTGTTCGATTAACTCGTTCTTTTTATACGTTTTGGAGTATTGACTGAATTAAGACAGTTTCATATTTGTATTGGTCCAAAGCAGAATACAATGTAAATCAGAAAACAGTACACGAGCATGTCGAGGTGAGAATGAGACCAATAAAAACAGGAATTAGGTATTACATTTCAGTTATACAATTCTTTTAGTATAAATTAAATTTAAAAGAGTAGCATGAATAGTGAGAATAAATGCATAATAAGTACTATCAGAAGTAGGAGAACTAATCGAAATATGATTGGTCTGTTGAAAACAAAGGTATATTACCCTATTGCAGCATACGAAAAGTAGAAATATAGCCATGTAACTCAGACTACTGATTATTAGTAAGTAGTGTGTATGGATACATAAATTATGTGGCGAATATTTCTCCCTCTAGGTAGTGATAAAATTGATATTTAACTTGGTGTATTATGAGTGGGTGATCGATTCCGAATCATGTCACTCAACGTCTCCGACTATTGGTCAAGGTTATCGCGAAGATCCCAACCACGTGGTCTCTACCTATCAACATGCTCAATTTCTAACAGTCAGTGGTTTTATGAACTAATCTAAAATCCTAGCTTTCTTCTAGTCCACTCTGCTCTACCACTTAGTTATTCCACGAAGAGTAAGTGACAGATACTCCAAAGAAATTAGTGAACAAGTAATGGGCCTACCCAGTCTTCTACTACGAAGTCCATGCTTCGAAGCTGCAAAATAGCACAGAGTGAATTGATTTTCAGAAGTACACACTCCCATTAGTTGGCAGACGTAATCCTAACTACGACATTTAAATCTGTAAAAATCAACCAAATTTTCAAACTGCCAAAGTTCATCTAAAATCAGTAGTACACCAAGATTTATGAGACTTCCGAGATAAGTGAAATGGTCTGCGCCTTCAACTACTTCATTCCAAGTTATTAGTTTAGACGTTGACATAGATCGGTCTTATGGAAACATCTCCTGTTTTGATTGGAAGAAATCCATCTCAAACATGCTTGTAATGTTTCTACATGAAATTAGAAGACTCTGGATTTTGTTGGTGTCCTCATTAAACAACGATTTATAAACTATGTATTCAAAGTTAATAAATGAATCCGAATCGAAATTGCCTCAAAATTAGTTCCAATCTGAGACTAAATATATTTATTCTTCATCTTCTCTTAGCTTCCATAGATTCATTAGTTCTTTTAAAACCAAATACTCTATGTTTAATCTATTTGATTAATCAAAAATAGTCCGACTAATTCCATTTCCCTGTATTGAGGAAGTGAATTGAACTATCTTGAGTCATACGTTAATGTTGACTGGTCAATTAACACATTAATTAAAACAAAACAGTAAAAAGAAAATACTTAAAATAAATTACACTTACAGGTCGAATGTCAATATCACACATACTAATGCTACTAGCCACTATGTGACTCATTGATAACATTGAACTACCGCCAGCTTCCTATAATATTTAAAATAAAGAAAACTACATGAATGAAACAAAAAAGAATAGATTATGCTTAGAAATGATAGATAAAGTATGTGTTTCACTTCAATTAGGATGTACCTACCTGTATTGCAGTGTCCAACACACTAATGTTCAAATACAGTATCTATTGCTTTAAGCAGATATTACCTAGTACTAATATTTGTTGTAGTCAGAGGTTTCGGTTTTCTTGTAATTGATATTCAAGATTAAATCTTAATAAACGCTTTTAGTATACAAACAGGCCCCTTTGAATATATATAATATATATAGTTTTGCATTAAGGTTAATAGTATTATTAATAATGAATACCATACGTGTTAGACAGTGTATTGGCCATCCTGACTTAAAAGCTTAGTAAGAATGATATGTAATAGGTTCTAGTCCAAATAATCAACACTGATAACACTGAAATGAAGGTATAGCCGGTGCACAGACCACAACCTGTTTCTGGCTAGCACTAACTTTCGGCACAGTCTTCGCCGATACGCCACATGGCGTCCTTCCTCTGCATCTCAAGCCTGGACTCAGATTGATCACGTCGCGATCAGCTACCGCTGGCGTGGTTGTGTACAAGACTGCCGCTCCTTTTGGAGTACCTATCTGGACTCTGACCATGCCTTGGTCTGCGCCAATCTTACCTTACTTTTCAGTGGACAGCGAAGTGATCACCATCAACGGATTGATGTTAGCAAGCTGGTTGCAACTTCTGTTGCTAGTAAGTATCGAACCGAACTAGCTTCTATGCTAGCTAACATTCCACCGAAAAGTATAGATGAGCGTTGGTTGAAATTGCATAGCGCCATGAAAATGGCGGGTACAGTCAGTTGACGGTTCGCGAAACGTCCCGCTTTTAAGCACTGGGTTTCTGCAGGTTCCTTACAACTCATTGAAGCCCGTCGGTCTATTCCGGGTGACCGTGAGTCTGACCACAAACGAAGGTTGTTACGTAGTGAAATTGGGCAAAGCTTGCGTAAGTACCGAGAAGCCTGGTGGTCGGAGCGTGCTAATGAGCTGGAAGCAGCAGCGGCATCTGGTAATTACCGGAAGCTCTTCCGACTCATCCGAGCCACTGGCAGCAAGAAGTCTGGTGTGAGCGAAACAATCTGCGAGGATGACGGGATGACAATCACTAACATCCATCGACGTCTTGAACGATGGGCGTAATTTTTTGAAGGGCAGTTCAACCGGCCTGCTGCTCCGGCAACATCAGTCAGAACGTCCTGCCCTCCATGGCCGATGACGACTGGTCCACCAAATGAGGCGGAAGTCCGCAAGGAACTCCAACACTTGAAGCGCTACAAATCACCTGGCCCAGATGACTTAGCTCCGGCTCTTTTTAAAGATGGTGGTGACTTTCTGAATAAGGAACTGACGACCTTGTTTACAAAGGTGCGGGAGCTAGAGAGTGTACCGACGTCATGGAATGAGTCGATAGTTGTCCCTATCTTTAAAAAGGGTTCACGTCGTTCCCGTAAAAATTATCGAGGGATAAGTTTACTTCCAACTGCGTCCAAGCTATTGGCTTCCGTCATACTTCGTAGGTTGTTCAAAACCCGAGAATGATTGACTCGCGAGGAGCAGGCTGGGTTTCGTTCTGGTCGAGAATGTATTGATCATATCTTCACCCTCCGCCAAATGTTAGAACACCGTCATACTTGTCAAAGGCCAACAATCGTAGTGTTTCTTGACATTAGGGCTGCCTTCGATTCGTTGGATAGGACTGTTCTCTGGGATTGTCTATTGAAGAAGGTTGTGCCTGAGAAGTTTATTAACATCCTAAAAGCCCTATATACAAACACCTCAAGCAGAGTGAGGGCATACAACCACCTCTCTCCATTGTTCCATTCGAGCAGTGGGATTAGACAGGGTTGCTCAATCTCACCATTCCTCTTCAACTTTGCCATCGATGACATTCTGGAAACAGCTCTGATGGATGTAAGTAATAGTGGTGTGGATCTGTTGCCTGGAGAAAGACTTCTCGACCTTGAGTATGCAGATGATATTGTCTTACTGTGCGATAATGCCCAAGGCATGCAATCCGCACTTAATCAGTTGGCAATCAGTGTCCGTAAGTATGGTATGTGCTTTGCACCTTCGAAGTGCAAAGTACTTCTACAAGACTGGCAGGATTCTAATCCTGTACTCACCCTGGATGGTGAGCAGATAGAAGTAGTCGAGAAGTTCGTGCATCGAGGTAGCTGCATAAGTGCTGGTGGGGTGTGAGTGATGAGATCAATGCACGTATAGTGAAAGCCAGAGCGGTTTATGCCAACCTGGGCCATCTTTGGCGCTTTCGTGATGTTAGTCTGGCCGTAAAAGGTCGGATCTACAACGCGTCAGTGAGAGCAGTTTTGCTCTATGCTTGTGAAACCTGGCCTCTCCGAGTTGAGGACGTTAGACGACTCTCTGTGTTCGATCATCGTTGTCTCCGAAGGATTGCTGACATAGAAAGTCTTTCTAATCGACCTTCCAAGATCACTTTAATTGCATTACTAATAATATCTACTTTAAACATAAGACACATAAGAGAATTTCAATCTAAGAAATACATATATATACGGATGTAAAGCTTTGAAAATGAATGTTTTAGGTGTCATTGAAGAAAACATACAGTAATGATGAATAATTCGCAGCACAGATAGATACTTTTACTGTTGATATGTTCTCTGAGCTAAACGGTTTAGTCGCAGATCGTATATTGACTCTATGGCAAAATCTTATGAGCACCTAATTTACATAGAAGTGATCTTAATTCTTCACTTTTACACACGAAGTAGAACAGATGAGATAATGCGGCCAGACTAACATCACGAAAGCGCCAAAGATGGCCCAGGTTGGCATAAACCGCTCTGGCTTTCACTATACGTGCATTGATCTCATCACTCACACCCCACCAGCACTTATGCAGCTACCTCGATGCACGAACTTCTCGACTACTTCTATCTGCTCACCATCCAGGGTGAGTACAGGATTAGAATCCTGCCAGTCTTGTAGAAGTACTTTGCACTTCGAAGGTGCAAAGCACATACCATACTTACGGACACTGATTGCCAACTGATTAAGTGCGGATTGCATGCCTTGGGCATTATCGCACAGTAAGACAATATCATCTGCATACTCAAGGTCGAGAAGTCTTTCTCCAGGCAACAGATCCACACCACTATTACTTACATCCATCAGAGCTGTTTCCAGAATGTCATCGATGGCAAAGTTGAAGAGGAATGGTGAGATTGAGCAACCCTGTCTAATCCCACTGCTCGAATGGAACAATGGAGAGAGGTGGTTGTATGCCCTCACTCTGCTTGAGGTGTTTGTATATAGGGCTTTTAGGATGTTAATAAACTTCTCAGGCACAACCTTCTTCAATAGACAATCCCAGAGAACAGTCCTATCCAACGAATCGAAGGCAGCCCTAATGTCAAGAAACACTACGATTGTTGGCCTTTGACAAGTATGACGGTGTTCTAACATTTGGCGGAGGGTGAAGATATGATCAATACATTCTCGACCAGAACGAAACCCAGCCTGCTCCTCGCGAGTCAATCATTCTCGGGTTTTGAACAACCTACGAAGTATGACGGAAGCCAATAGCTTGGACGCAGTTGGAAATAAACTCATCCCCTGATAGTTGTTACGACTTAATTAACACTTGATTTCCTGCACATAAGCTAACCCTGAACTAAAGTCGTTACACATATTTTTTGCCTTCTCTCTATTGTTTGAGTCGACGTGTAGAAGTAGTCTAGGGTTAAAAAGCGTTACAGCAGCAGACTTGTCAGAAACTATGTGCTAAAACAGATTGATGATAAGGAAATGGTGAATACCAATAACAGGACAATACAAACACTTTAGATAACACTGCTACAAATAATATTCATAAAAATTTTCTTTTCTTAATAACATAAAATTTTATAAACTCAAAGAAAATATCCATAAACTTACTAACAATATAGATGGATCAAATAAAGCTTCAGGGATTTGAAAACGTTCATGACCCAATTCAAAATTGAATCCATTTGGAAACTCATAACCAACCATTGGAAAAGTGTCCGCTTGGCTGAAAGACAAGTATTTTTTTTAAAAACAGACAAAACTTGTATAGTGTAGCGTTACAAATACAAATAACTACATATGAGTGTAGGGAGATTTGTGAAAACTGTAAAATCTTCATGATCTAAATCATAAACCAATACTAAAAATCAAAAAGCATAAGACGGCTACTTCGCCCTAGTATGGGACTCCTCAACAGTGCGCATCTACCACGTCACATCAGGGAATCCAACCCTGAATCTTCAGTTTCGTAGAAGAAACAGCCATTTAGTGCTTCAAGCTACTCTTTAGTGATCTAGCTAACTGTAAGAATCACACATGATTTGTAGTAGATCAATGTTTGCGATTTCAGAACTGCAGAGCCTCTTTCTAATCTTGGAAAGTTCTTAAACCAAGAATATACAACTCAATTATTATTCATGTTATAACCACTAACCTTTGATCATAACGATCTTCAGAAACTTGTAAAACTGACGCCACAAAATCTTGTATTTGGCACTGAAAATGTTAGAAAAAGAAAAGAAATGATTCACAAATGAATATGATTGTTGATTTTTGAGGAAAATTTACGACAGGAAAACTGTAGATTAATTCTTGCAAACTAATATATTATATATTTGGTAGCAAGTCATTAACAATCAGTTTGCACTGTTAAAATATGATAAAGGGTATAATTTTTAATCACAGTTTCGTTAAAAGATTACTGTGTTTAGGTAATTACTCAACATCATTATTGCAAACATAGTGAAACTGTGTGCTTTGTACTCGACTAGCTTTAAGATGAATTGTTAGACGACAAGGTAGGAATTAAGTCTAACGGTTGGATCACTATTTCATCGGTACTTCAGAGTGATCTATGAAATCCATGTGTCCTTTAATCAATTATGCTTCATCATTTGATTTCTTTGGTACTTGATCCCGCGCATACATGCTCGTTATTTTATTAGGTAAAATGATTCCTATTTTGCCGGGCAGCTTTCTTGGTTTCTGATATCAGTTCACATGGGGGTTGATGTCAATAATTTGGTCTTGTGAGTCGTCATCACTTAAAACACATTGTATCACCGGATATTACCCATCGATAGGTATGGCATTCACCAATTTAACAACATCCGAACGTCTCATTATAAATCTTGAAATCTTAATAAGCAAGACGATTTGGGTTACTGAAATTCTAATCCCACGTAGAGTTAATCTTAACCTGGGTTGATAGTAAAAGACAGAAATGATATTATAAGAACATAGCGAAACTGAAGGTCCTGGGTTCGATTCCCGTATGTAAGACAGTGGGTGTGTACTGCTGAGGAGTCCCATACTTCCATTTTTTAATGGTGGTCTAACTTAGATCAGTTCATGACTTCAGTGAAATTCAACTATCTCCACAGCCTTATTACTTACTTACGCCTGTTACCACTCGTGGAGGAGCATAGGCCGCCCACCAGTATTCTCCATCCAACGCTGTCCTGGAGAATCCTTTCTAGTCGCTTCCAGTTGCCATTCATCCTTTCGATGTCTGTTTTCAATTCCATACTCAATGCATCTTCGGTCTTTCTTTTTTCCATTTCTCTTCAGGATTCCAAGTGAATGCTTGAATCGTGATGCGGTTTGATTATTTCCTCAATGTGTATCCTACTCACTTCCAACATCTTTTCATAGTTTCCCCTTCAGCTGGAAGCTGGTTTGTTCTCTCCCACAGAAGGCTGTTGTTGATGGCATCCGACCAACGAACATTGAGTATCTTGTGTAGAAAATTGTTTGTAAATACTCGCACATTTTTGATGATGGTCTTGGTAGTTTTCCTCGTTCCAACTCCATACAGTAGAACTTTCTTGACGTTTGTATTGAAGATTCCGACTTCGATATTGGTTGACAGTTGTTTTGAGTCCCATATGTTCTTCAACTGTAAGAACGCGGCCTTAGCTTTGCCAATCCTTGGCTTCATGTCTGCATCACATCCTCCTTATTCGTTGATTAAGCCGCCCATGTGCGTGAAAGTCTCTACATTTTCCAGAGCTTCTACATAACCTCATACTGAAAACATACCTTAATTGTGAAACTATTTTGAATTTTATGAATACGTGGTCGCCTGTTACTTGGAAGGAATTCTTTGCATAATTTTGGTATACTATTTTTCCGTATTATTAACGCATTTTACGTGAGCACATTTTTATTAAAATTATCATTACTACTATTTGTGTACAGACATTTTGATCCGCAACAACCTTGTGGACATTTGGTCCATTTTTTGTGGCAAATAAGTGGAATTCTCATCAATTTGTACAATGCTATCATAAATAAGAATGGTGTTTTTTTGCCTGAAAACTATGCGAGTAACTGTTCGAGATTTTTAGATGGTTACAGGCAACTGTCACCATAGATCTGCATTAGTAATGAAGCAGGGTACAGTAAATATCAATTTCATCGTTGATCGAAACATCTTAGCAATGCCCATTAAGGACCCTGGAAGTGATCAGTAGGCTGCCATCTATGGTTGATTAGTAAATAACTGTTTCATTCCCACGACATGCTTGGAATCTCCCCCTTCTCACAATAACTTTAAGAATCGATTTTAAAGTCAGTCACCTATTCTCCACAGTTTTCAGTATTTCCTCTATTTGATTTTAATTAGTAGTGGAAATAATCTCCAGGATTAAACCAATCACCCCTTATCTCAAAAATAATTTATTTAAATGTTATTTTTGAGAGGTCAGTAACCGAGTACATACACTTTTATACTCGATTTCACATCACAAATTCAATGTGCAGACTAGTGATACTCCTCAACTGTATAAAGCGAACTGGGTAGAACAGGCTATCATAATCGTAAGCCCAATTAAGTCGTTAACATAAAGTTATACGTTGACATTGATCATAATCTGTGAACATTAGTTTATTGAATTACATTTGACTTTCAATGTAGCCTAGACTTCTTTGACTTATAGACAATTAACAAAACGAACCTTTAAGAACAAAGTATGACTCAAAGTACATGTAACTTAACAGTAATGAACGCGATTGTCTATTGGACTATGATGATCTCCACAACTTGTGTGAGAATATGCAATCCAAAGTGAACTTTGACAGAGAGGTGTCTGAATCTGTGGTCCATCGGTTGATTATTGAGTGTATAAACTAATGGGTCACATCTTCAAAAAAACTGATGATTATTTATGTTATAAGCCGATTTGTAAATACATGGAAAAAGTTCAATTTTGTCATATAGACGGGCTACTTACTTTCAACATATAATTCTCATATGATGTGGAAACAGGTGGTAGATTTGTCCGTTCTTTCCATTTTGCAGGTTCACGTTCATTTACAGGCTCCTAAATAATGTTAATCAATTATAAAAATATTTACATCAATCCCACTAAATTCTGTGAATTATTTCCTGTTGAACAATGATAATAATAATGCAGCTTGACAAGTCATAGTTATTTGTATAAAAGTTTGGATTCGCTTTTATGTCATTGAAATATGTAACGGAATAACCTAATGATCAGAACCATAAGATCTTCAACTATTAAACCACGCATTCACACTTCACTTCATATACATTAAAGTTTGTGTAACCTAGTAGTACTACTAGCCTAAAGATAGATAAAATGCACAACTCAAAGCTGAGTAAATAAATGTGTACTTCGTTGAAATGAGTTACACCATGTTGTAAGGTTTGATGAAATCATTTGTACGTTAACTAAAGTGGAAACAAAGTTTCCAACTGTTAAGCATCAAATTTATGCAAATCACTCAGTCAAATCTTCAACAAGCAACTAAGACCGCTTCCTGTATAGCCTGTCCAACTTTTCAGCCACTAAGTTCCGAGTTTGAAGCCCCCTTTTCCGCTTATTTTCTCTTGGAAAACCGGGTAGTATTATTATCCCTCACAGAGTGGCTAGATCTGTATAAAGATGCTAGTGTAAATGCTTTGTACAACAACTTTGGATTTTACACGAAAGTACAACTGTTTTAATTTAAGATTATTCAAAGATCAAAGTAAAACAAACTGTGTAAGAAAAATTAAGCTTGATGGTAGTTACTACTGACCTAATTCGTTATCAACAAACTTCACAAATCAATAACAACTAAATATAGTGGAGAAGAATATATATAATCAGTAATTCGTGTCATAATTCAGTCTTGTTGGAAATAAACCGAACAACATTGTAAAACTTAGGAACTACAGTAAAATGTAGGATCGTGATCTTTTGGTTAATATAAGTGAAACTCAATTACCAAATTACACACATATTCAGAGTTGGGTAGCACTGTATGAGGGCTAGTGACACTAACCAGTTGCCCATACCGAACAGGGTTCGGACCATAAACTCGAAAGTTAAAATCGTAGTGATTCAACAACTAACCGACTGTTCAAAAAGACAGGACATATAGTGACAAACTATCGGTAACTAGACAATGATTTAGATGGAATTAGTTTTAAATCGTATCTACCTATCTGCTATTTTATTATTTTCCCAATCTATCGCATAACGCTTAGTTTCATTGATATCGTTGCCAGCAAGCTATGCTATAGTCACTCCAAACATTATTTCAAGAAACAAATCTCTTATGTAACAACAATGAAATTTCATTAACTGGTAGTCATATTTTTCATAATCATAACTTATAAATTAAACGTACATAGATACTTCGTTTTGTACATGAAAATATATGAACAGTAAACCGAAAATATGGTTGAGATAAACGGACTCGATTATTTAATAATTAGTGGTTTCGTGTTTAGCGGAACTACAAAGTGAGTAATTTTGAAGTCAGTTAACGTACTAGGCAGATGTAAACGAGTTGACTAAGTTGACTGATGTTGTCGGGACAAGTGTTACATCTGAGTAACCATCACCTACCCCCAACTAAAAGCTTGTGAATTGGAAAATGATAAGGATTAAATATTGCATAGACCTATAAAACTGTTGACTATTGGATTAACCATCTCCGGAGGCGAATATTTCCTGCCAAGGTTAAATTTATTTTATTTATTATTATTTACTTAAACACAAACATTGGTACAAGTAGGCGCCAAACAGATATGCACCACATAAAGCATTCGATTTGTGTGAGGGCTCGGATATTGCCTGGGTGTCCAAACCGAAACAGGTGATTTTCTTAGGGGCCACACCCGGAGCCTTTGACCTAAAGATATGATCCACACGACAGTGGAACAACGTGAGGAGATGTACGCTCATGGTAGCCGGTGACCAACAATAGATTCATACACCATTTGTTCCGTCAAGATACTGGAGCCCATGTGCGCTATTGGTTTAGAATGAGGGTTTTCCAACTCCCCTAGGTGGACTCTCTGTGTCGCAGACTCCGTGTATAGTCACAGGACTTAGATGATATAATCAAAAAACGGTTGCAGTAGCACTGATGTATGCATTCACTATCTTCCTCTAAATCCTGAATTTAACATTATCACATGCTTTGCATTAACTAATCATGTCCGTCTTTTTAGACTACATTTTTTATGTTCAAATTTTATCACCACTGATATTAATGTCTTGATTGATTTTGTCGCTTACCTTGTTAATTTCCCTTCGCTACATAAACATAAAGCGGAGTAACTGATCGATGAACATTTGTACCAGGTTCAAAGTTATTCATGACTGACTGATTCAAACTTAAATGTTTACTACATGAATATCGCTGGAGAACGAATAGCTTATACATGTAGAATCCTACTCAGTAAGAGTATCAAAAATGTAGATGAAACTGGGTATACAAGTAAAAGTATGAGTCTTCGACATCGAGTTAGGCTTGTATCATACTTTAAGATTACAAGTATTTACCTATAACGAAGTGGAGCGTAATTTGAACCTGAGAACTGATAGATGTAAAATAAGTGCTAGAAGTGTTTGCCAATCTGGACTGATGAATGTATGTGACGTACTCCATATTGCTTATGACTAATAGACTATTTGAATGAGAGAACAAATAAATACATAGAACCTCCGAGTTACATCTCACAGACGAAAAACAAAGACCTTGCGAAAAATATGTGGTTGAGTACACATAAACGAGTAACAGTGAGTATTTGCTACTCTAAATCATTCATTTTTAACAACTGGTGGTAAATTAAACTCACAAGTCACATTTAAATATTCAAATATTTCCTAGAACATGTATTCCGCTGGTATGCTACATAATTTGGTTGTGTTGGAAATAAGAGGTTACCTTTGATCTGAACAAATAGCATTATTATGAACCAGCTTTTTGGAGACAGACAATAATAATATCACAACTATCCTACAACATATGATACCGAATCAAACCCCTTGATAAAACAGACTCAAAAGTTTGCTTAATTCAGAAAAGTGCTGCCATGCACATTCGACATCACTGATAACAATTGCAAAATCAACCAGACATAAATCCTCAATTCCCACTCCAACTTCGAAATCATGATACAATGATCTAAAAAATACGACTGACTGAATCCTGACAGAGTGGAGAATGCAGCACCTTGATTTGAATAAATAATAGCACCAGTGGTCTAATTGAACGTCCAAAAGATAGTGCGGATACAATTCGAACTGAATATATATTGGAATCCCTAGATAATTCACATAACTAATATATACAAGTCCCAAGATTCTTGGCTTTGCGTGATAAACCTAAGGAATTATTTCATTTAACTGTAAAGAATGATTTGAGCACACTATAGGATAAAAATGACTACATTTCAAATATATTCTATCGAATACTATCTGGTCAGCTGAATGGATAGGGTAAGAAAATTCGTAATTCAGAAACAATGACTGATTTTTTATAGAAAAAAGTGACTTCAGAATGCTTAGAAAGTAATTAATATGCATATTTCACTTTAAACGGAAATTATGGACCTGAACCAGCACACATTCACTTGATGTGTATCGTCAGTCTATGGCAATTAAGCCACCTATTCAAACGTAAAAATATACTGTACATGCTGATTCCAAGAATTCGGAATTATCACAGAATCTAAGGTGTACACTAAACTATAAATTTACCCATAGCATGAATATAAATGCTAGCATACCTTAGATGCGACACGATAATATGGAACAACTTCTATTTTAAGCTCATCCAGAATTAACCTTTGTGCCTGCTGAACAATAAAATCGCCAGCCAAAGGGGAGCGTATAACCTCTTGAGTTAGAACTAAACCATCGTACACGGGGACGGCTGATGTGTGAATAGCACCACAATCCAAAACCAAACCAGTATGTCTGCCGTTTGCAAAACAAGTTAAAGCAGCGTTCTTGGCTATATAAAATGCTGGAACCTAGATAATAATTCATTTGAAACGAAATAAACACACTTTAAACTTTTCGAACAAAATTTCAGCAATTTTCTCTCGTTTTGACTTTGTATTCCATGAAGGTTCCGAAAAAAGTATCGGGTGATGACTAGCCTCTTCAGGTGTAAGGTACCGTAGCATGTGACTCATAACATCCTCAAAAGCATCCCAGTCATCAACTGTACGAAAGTAAGTTAAGTAGAATCTTACTTAATCCATCTTTAAGAAATGATTGGAGGTCAGTTCCTTTACGAGGTATCAAGATATTTTGGCCAACGACTCTTTTCGCTGGTAGACCTTCTTCATTTCCAATAATCCCAAGAGTAGATGGAATATCAATCTTAACTGATAATTATAAGTTACAAATATCAACCTTAGGGTTATCTTCGCCAGCAAAACCCCCTCGAAGAGAATACGATCCAAAGTCAAAAACTAGTGCCCCAACCTCATCTATGGGAATATTAAAGACAAACTAGAAGTTCGGACAAACCACTCATAGTGAACTCCCCTAACCTTTCAGAGCGCTTGCGCGATGCAATGACCTTAGTGTTTCAATTTTATTACAGTAGCTTGTTAAAACGAAATGACTGAAGTTCATATTTTTATGCAGAAATTCGAAAAAAAACACTTATCTTGGCAGTTTTACCAACTTGAAAGTAACCTTTCCCATGGGTTGGTATACCAACCCATGGGACGGTAATTTCACCCTAACTATTTTGATATCATTCGGCTGACCTATATTTCCAAGCTTTTCAAAATAAAACACGATCTCATTAATAAAAAATACGGGCATTATATTGAGAAAAATTAGCTCTAAATCCAACTAGACAATAACACTTAGTTAACCTTTATTATAAAGATATTCGGAGGACCACAAAAGTAGTTCTGATCTACAATAATATTCTCATTATCTCGATTCTAGGAAATCGTCTAGTCCAACATTCATAGCATAAATGTTTCGCCGGTAACCGGAAATAATAGATGGTAGCGCTTGAGTTGAAAGTCAGAGATATAATTAACATTTACAAGAAAATGGGGTAAAAGCTCAATAAATATTACCAGTGTCCCATAACATAACACTTTGAAGGGAATTTCAGACTATTTACTCTGTTACAGGTATTTAAGAAATGAGTTGGAAGTTCGTTTTGACTACGAGTGTTTTCCTATTTTACCACTAATACAATTTACATTCCACAAGGTTGTGTGTATCTGGTAGTTTGAAATCCCGAAGGCACAAAACGTGAACCACAACCGTAATAATTTATGCACGAGGTTTGGTCCGAAGTGTTTATTTCTCCTTTTAAAAAGATGTTCTGTCGTAGGTATTCTGTCACACGTTCATCATTTGACCTCGTTAGCTAAAATCTGTATATTCTGTAAAGTGAACACAAATGTTAGTATCTGTCTAACGCTGAATCTTTGGAACCTATCCTAGTATATAGTTATTTGGGAAAATTTACTTGATTGACTGGTTTGTTTGAAACACACATTTTATCCCAGAACTTCGACAGTAGTCCCAATTCAGCATGACATTTTCTTAGCTATCTCCATGTTCTCTAATCGACATATGCAAAAGAACAGCAACCACGTAATTAACACATGCACTTCTACTATCTTGGAAGGACCACTCCGGCATTCATATAAGCTCTATTCAAGATTTAGTACGTTAATTCCTGCAGCTAATCGATCACGCAGCTGCATAAAAAGTTGGTCACCGAAATTATACTTGACAGCTCCCTTCTTCAATTCGAGAACAAACTCTACAACATTCTGGTTGTTCTAACGAATCATTAAATAAAATATCGCACTTTCATGACGTTCAAAAGTTGTACACTTTACATGATTTAGTAGCAGTTCTTTTTAAGTTAAGTAAGAACAAAAATGGGCTTATCTGAAAATAATAAATCTTTAATTACGTTGTAGGTGCTTTTCCTGATGAATGCGAGGAAATGAGCCACGATTTTATCATCCTAAACATTTGTTCTGGTCGTTATCCACAAGTGAGACCCTTCCATGTAATCTTCGAAAGCTACAGAATTTTAATGTTTATCCAACTGTTCAAACACAAGCTCCATAGGGGCGCCAATGCATAAATAGAAGTGTTAGAGTTTATATGCTATCTAATAATTCTCGAAATAGTGCGATAATAGGCAGCTAATCTGGAATTATGGTCAACTTCGTTATTACTTATAAGTCTTGCTAATTGAACGTTATATTCAGTTCCTAAGCTATTCTCGTAACCCCCAAGCTAGAAAAGGTGCAAAATATGCGAGAAGCAATGTCCTCCAAAATTTCATTCTATTACAGAAAATATCGGGCTTTTATAACATTTTAGATGTCCTTTAGTTTTTCGAAGATTTCGAAGTGCTACTAAACATAGTAGCAATCAGAAACTCTACATGTGACTTTTCACTTTCTTAATGTTTCTGGCTAAACTCCAAGTGAACGCTGATTGGGTAAAGTGCTTCTTTGTGTTTTCCTGATCCTTCCTTGTCTTTTGCGATAAGTGTTCTGAATCAGCCCAACAATTAGTATTGCTCAAATAATAGACCTAATCCTAAAATTGTAGATTTTTCATGATTTGACTACATAATCTATAAGATCTTGCGTGGAAGCCACATCATTATATACACTGGCTATTCGTATCGTAACAATTAACAATATAATGTAAAGAACGAATGTAGGCTGAAGATAGAATAACATATTTAATTCGAGTAAAGACGAGTTATACAAAATGACCACGTCAGTTAGGCTGAGCCGTTCCATCGGATTTATTGAATTACTCCTTCCCGCGTTCAGAATTGTTAGCCTTCTCTTCGTGTCAATTTTTGAATACAAATTGGTCCAGTCCGGTTTCAGAAGTCGTGTGTTTAGGGTCCAACGCCAATACAGTAGAGCCAGATGAACACAACTGGAAATTTCAATGGTTAAGAGTTGGCTTCATCATTTCTTTTTTTGTTGTATGATGCCGCCCCGTTGGTAATAAGGTTTCGATTGCTTGGCTAAAAAGTCACATCACGGACTGATTACCTATTCTTTCTCTTTGACAGTCTATTAACGACGTTTGTCGCTTGACTTGATAGTTTCGGGTAACGTTTGATTTCATTGTGTTGGAAATAGTCTGGCTGATTTTGTTTAGTGACCTGTTTTGTTGTATAGTGCCATATGTTGTAACGGATAGGCTTTCAACTGTGTAATAGATGGGCAGCTTAGTACTGAATAAATTATGTACAAATTCTGTGTTTTGATATATCTTTGATTGTTAGTAGCTCAGAGAAGATTCGTACCCTTTGAAGAGGGACGCAGTAATTTGCTTTCATTGAATACAACCTGACTGTGTTGAATTATTTTATATATCCAGGTCAAAAAAATTAATTTTAGCATCTACTGTTAAACTTAATAATTAGCTCCAGATAATGTTCACACTATCGCTTGAACAGGTCCATGGGATACATTTCGATCCATGCTGGCTATCCTTGACATTGACGAAGCTCAGCAAGCATTTCGAAACCTAGTAATCAGTGTGCGAAGTATCATCGCGTTCGACTTCAACGATAATTTGGCCGACGTTCAATGTTATTTCACTGACCATCAATAAACGTTTCCGAATTGACTTTCTTTAAATAGATATTATCTGCAGTAGTGCATGATTCTTGGTTCTCTATCTTCAGACCTTCAACATGTTTTTTTAATTATTTTAAAACGAAGGCCAAGAGACTGAACCTTCATATTCGTGGTGTAGTCGAATTATACATAAAGCCACAGCACGCGTAGTCTCAGCAATAAATGTTTAAGGTCCTGAAAATGAAATGAGAAATGTTTAATACACACAAACGGGAATCTGGAAATTCAGTGTTTTTTTTATTCTCGCATGTGAATCACGTGTATCTTTTCATCTAGCTACCCATTCCCTTCATCATTGCGATGAACCTGGAAAACTCTTATTTCCATGAACTTCAGAGAGGCACACGAATGAAGACAGAATGTTCAAAGATGACAAACAACTTACTAATTGACCATCAAGTTCCATAATTAAGAATAGACACTCGAAACTCTTTAGCTAAACACGCGTCAATTGTCTCTCCTGCAGGAATATTGTTATAATCTATCTTATTAGGAAATAACTGCATTTACTGCCTAGTATTCTTCGGTCACTTTATTCAACCAGTCTCCAAAAAAGGACACGGCTAAGTAAGAAGGTAAATACATTTCAAATAAAAAAGGTTGGATGGAAGAAAGAACCAAAACACGAAGAACTTCAGCACATCCATTATCTATTGGAGATTTTAAATCATTTCCCAACCATCTGAAGGCACTGATTGACTAGAAATTGACCAATCAGATACACAGAGACGATCCTTCAAGGAACATGCTTTGATCTAATATATATGCATATCCCGCCAACAGATATAACAAGAAATGGGTGAGTTGCACGAGAAACCTAGTACCGATGAAACCAACAAAATCCATTCGGTCTCTTGCCTTTATCAACTGAAGTTGTTCGGGTTGCTCATTTCATCTTGCAGGGTTTCTTAGCTGTTCAAATAAGGGAAAGGATCTGAAAGCTCATACACAAGTGCACATGGTCACACGCTCAACAGGGTCTTGGTTACAAAAAATAAGAATTTATAAATGAAAGACATAGCAATAGTAGTTTAGTATGAAACATGATCACATGGAGTGTCGCCTCTTAGAAAAAACATAGTGATGGAACTGCTCCCGACTATTTGTCATCAGACGGCATTTAAATATACGTTGTTCAGAATTCACACGAAGTAGAGAATTGGTTTAATTATACGACCCATGGATATCTCAAAAATAGGCAGAAGACAAAGAAGTGACGATGTGTACGAACATATAAGCCTACTACTGTATAAAACGGTGAATACAAGAACAATTTCATATGCGCGATCGTGGAAGAAAATACGATGTTTTATTCAGATTCCTAAAAGTTGTCAATGTCTTCTGCTACTACATTATTTACGAGATTGGATATTGAAAAACTGGTTGTTCTGTACCATCTGAATCTGAATCCGATGTGCCTTTGTTTTTCGCGGCAGTAAGTGCGCGCTGTTTGCACTCGTGACTCTTGTCTTCGCTGTAATTACGGTTCAAGTTATTATTGGTTTTCCGTGATATTCTTTATTGATCTTTCTACATTCGTTATTTTTATCAAAAAGGACCATTGCAGTTTTTAGATTTTATTATTCAAGTAGCTTGTAGTGTTTGCAGTGTAACTAGCCGTTCATGTCCTTTTGAGGCTTTTCATCTCTTTTTCAGATGGAGAAACCAGTGCAGCACTGTTCTAATTTTACTCGTTACCATGTCTTGCACGTTCAAAGATTGGATAACAGGGATTTACTAAAAATATTGTCAACTTTATTATATCTAAACATAAGCTAAATCTGTTGACTCTTAGAAAGACGACTACCTGTCAAATGGAAACTCGATATATGTTTCAGGCTTGACGCTTTCGGTACCTGGTAACCAACTATTGGCCCATGAGTTCATAGCCATTACATCTGATTCGGTCTGGCTAATCGGATAGT